CGATGCTGCGAGATGGGCTATGTATTCGGATTCCGACCGGTGCGATTCAACCCGACCTCCAGGGGCTTCGCCGATTTGCTGGGGTCCATTTCGTTATTTACAGCGGACGAATCAGGGGACATGTCCTGTCTTCTGCATGGCTGCTGGATCACTATCAATGCATTGTAGGGTACCTACATCCATCCATGGAGGACTCTTGCTGACCGGCCGGTCTCATCGCCCAAACCTTATTCTATGTCGCGTGTTCTGGAAGTAACTACCAACCAATATCACTGATCAAGTATCGGTGCCGTTCATCCAGCTGCTTGAACGTTGTTGTCGTTTATTGCCGCGTGTCAACTCCCAACGGGGGCGTAGAGTAATCGCGGCGAATGGTTCATGGAATATCACTCGTTCTGGTTATCTCTCCCAGAAGGTTTCGAACTTCCCCGTATCCGTGTTTCCAATTATCCGTGAGGGGCACAGCTTGGATTGCTTCCAGACCGACGGCATTTTCCGCCGTTATAGGAGCTGAAGAGAGCTCAAGTCTAAATTCGCTCATGATCAGCGAGAGGATGGTCATCTCGGGTATGATACAAGGATTCCCTCTGCTCTAAAGATGATATAGAGTGCTGGCGATATTTTTAACCCAGGTGAGATCATGGTTAAATAAACAATGTTTTGAGTCCCATATGACCCTCTGTTCTGTACGTTCATGAGAACAACAGTCATCCAATTTGATGCATCAAGACAACTAACCCGCACCCAATAGTGGCTGACGCTTATACCCAACGAGTGCTCTACGTAGACCAGTGCGCACCACCGTGCGCGCTTCCATCCGTCCAGATATGGGTAGGTACTCTACTCACTCAGACCGAACCCCTAACCAGATGATAACTTGCGTGATTTAACACCTTCCCCCTCAAAATGTCTCGGGGATCCAAAATCTACGCGAACACTGGCAAGACATCCACTGACCTGACTTCACAGCCCCTCACTCGGCGACGCGATTAGATCTGATAGCCAAGCTCCCTACCTGGGATTAGAGTACCTACCTACCTGCCTGCTAAACTCCCCACGGGTCAGCGGCGAAACATAATTCACGGGGGGGCCAGCCCGTCGACGAGGCTCAGAGGGACTAGCTACCTCGAGAAATCGGGATGGTATGGTGATCTTAGACACTGGTCGCCAAGTCGACCGCTATTCCTCCCTGAATGCGCAGATCATACCCGGTTGGGAAGGACAGTAGAAAAGGCCAAGGCTCTTGGCAGGAGGAAATGAACACATTATCAACGGTTGTTATTCAGTAGTAGGCGGCTGGCCGTTATCGGGATACAAGATTCTGATTTTCAAATCTTAAATTCTGGGGGTGGTCAGGGCGAAAGCCACCCGATAGGTGTGGCCGCGGGTTAGAAAATGGGGGGTGCGGTTACTAAGTTGGCCAAGAGGAATTAGTGCTGCAATTATTAACACACATAGAATGGCAGAATGATAGCAAACAATTAACACCCTTAAAGCAAACATCTTGAGTTGTTAGCTGCGCGTGTGCCTGCATAATGGATCGCGGCCCGGTAGGTAGAGATGCTTGATCGCAACATCTGACTATACTCGGCATCGACGGCTATGGCGGTGCGGAAAGGAGAAGTTCGAAGGCGGCATTTTACCCCACCGTCGAACGGCTCTAGAGTGGAATCCCGACCAGGCAATATGCTCGGTCCGGCAGCGACACCTCACGGGAGAGTGCGGTGCTTGCTATTGAAATACTCGCAGGCCCCGGTGCATAATATGGACGGATGAGCTAGGAATAGTATTATATCTAGTAGCTGGGCATGGGATTGACACTATCGATATCTTCACGGCAAGAGGTGCGAATAACGAGAATTTCATGACGATACTGGTCGTTTCTGAGATGGACTGGGCCCACGCTAGCAACGGGTATGAGACTTGATGAGACGGGATATACCAGAGATCATTATATAACAAGACGTGAAACTGGAGTAAGGCATCCAAAAGGGTGTTGCTGAACCTCTGAACATTTTGTGTATACTCGGGTATTTTCAGATCATTTCTTGAGAGTTAGAAAGCATCAGCCGCCGGACAACCGTGGTAATCATCAAGCAATTGCGGGTCGGCGAAAATCTGAGCGCCTATGATTGTTTTTGTGGCAAGGCCCTCTATGCACCATCTGGTTTTGCTGCAATTTCTTGGCGGATTAGTTCACAGAATCTCACTCGGTTAAGGATGAATATCAAACAGACCATTTGTTGGTTACGATTAGCCACATCAGATGCCGAACATAATGATATAGAGCCACTATGTCGAACTCCATGGGGGGGAGAGATAATCCCATATCGATCCCACCACATCTGATAATAGAGGAGGCGGACCTTTGTTACCGCGATAGGAAAAGAACAAGAACACATAAGAGCCCGGGTTCATATCCTGCTCTCGAGAAACCAGGGGATCATATGGAAAATGGGCTCTGTGCCATGAGATCTCGGATTTAGTTTGTTGGAACTGGATCGTCGAAGGACACGAGATAAAAGATACGAGGTGCGGGCTAGAAACCATGCTATCTTGCGGAAACGGCTAAAAGTCGGTTTTTCGGTGAATCTTTACAGGATCAGAAGCTCAGCGGGGATCACAACTTTCTCTGGGTCTTGTGCTTCTAGGGCGTGGATTAATCTATGGGTAGAATCATGGAGCTGTGCTTGCTAAATTCTTTCCCGTGATGACGCCTAAGATAACTATCACGTGGCTCACGAGAATGCCGATGGAATACGCCATTATTAGTCGTAGCCGGGTGATAAGAGTTGGGAAGGATAGCGATTTGCCTCGCGTACCTATCAAGCTCGAGGCCGGTTGATCATGATATCGACCATCACCGATCCTATTACGGATGAATCTAGTAGATAGATCTATAGAGTATCGACCTAAAGTAGCTTCTAATAATTTGCACTGTGTGATTTGCTCTCGTATATATTCTGTCAACGTATTGAATCGAGGGAAACGATGGGAATAGCTGATACCGTCGAGTCGTGGATTTGGGATGTTGCATTTATACCAATAACCAAACCGCACATTTCTTTAACCATGTTTGCCCACACATAGCCCCGTAATAATATCATACCCCCGGGGTTGAATACGATCAGTGGAGGAACAAACAATGATATCCGCACGAACCCTAACCCTAGCCAGTGCCGAGTGAGATATTATGATGCAGTATTTTTGTTTAACTCATTATATTTTGCATTGATTTTGCCGACTCTACCCCTTTATATTAGATATCATTAACGAAGATTGCACTCCAGAAGTACATTTGCAACTCATGTAAGAATCTGAGGGTGATCAGAGAATGGGGATTGTTGATCATTCTTGAACGTACTAATACAAAGGAAGATAAAGGAAGTGAAATTTTTGCTAGTTCCATTAGTCAGTCTGCCATTGAATCAGAGATGACTCAAATCTTTTGTGTTGTAGTGTACTAGATCTTAGTGGTGGCGGTGTGTGGGTGATTCTAACTCGAGGCATTCCACGACATTCTATACAAGTGAATCTTAAACACGATGACGTGTATCATGAGCTTCAGCAACACTATGGCTCAGATAATACGAAAGATCAGAAGAAATCTCTTTCTATAATAATCCCTGAAAAGATTTCCAATGGATCTAACTACATGTAGCCGTTATTTCGCCCGCTGACAGAAATAAAGTTATTCTACGGTGCTTCCAGGATTTGCTAGTTTATATACTGTGTGAATAGTTCCTACACTCCTTCTTAAATCTCTCTATGCACCAGCAACCTCAACTATACCTCTCAATTATCTACCTTGATTAGAGAAGTTAGCTGGTCATCCGTCAAATCCACCTGACTAGTTAGTCAAAAAATAACAACCTTAATATCAACATGGATACTCATGAGTAAGACCCCTCTCTGTTATAATATGTCTCACAATTTCATATCTAACATTCTTTCTGATTATAGTGACCCTCGAAGTAGCAATTGCTACTATAACTCTCAGGGGCACTCGAATGCTGCCTCAGAGTTATAGCACAGAGAGCGTTCTGGCCTCTAAGATATACCCAAGAGTACAAAAACATGGATACTAATGTGTAAGACCTCTCTTTGTCATATGTCTCATAATTTCATTAGTTCATTACAGCTAACCTCAATCGTTTCCATTTAATAGTGATCCTCGAAGTAGCAATGGCTACATCAATTCCCACCCATGGGCCGGCGCACATATATTAATTCGAACTCCTCAGCGATAACTTCGGTTTGATGGAAAGCCGGGGCAGCAAGCAACCGGAAGCACACGCCGCCACGATAAGCTCTCGGTTTACCTGCTTGTTGGGGGGTCTTTGATGGTCTTGTCACTGACTTGGAACGATCGGGCCCATATATACACCACCTTCGTCAGGACCACGATACCACCTGCTATACTTATCCCTTCGTTCGTTTTGATATATACCACCGTCATCAGGGCCACGATACCAACCGCTACACCTATCCCCCCGTTCGTTTTGACCACAAACGCTACCGGGGGTGTTTAACTCGTTCCAGCGACTTTTATCGACCCTGGCACACCTAACCCACACCAGAATCTCTGTAGAGGCCGCCGCTGTGCTGACCCAGATAAAAGGGGTTTTCTGCCTCCAAACCTCCTCAACCTCGACGCTTCTTTTGATGACTAAAATGCACGCCACCACCCCCATCACCATTGATAGCACTGGCACTGGCGGTAGCCACTCCCGAGCTCGCCGTGATCATATTACCTCCAAATTCTCAGGCTCACTGAAAAAGTTTGTTAAGCTTCTTAACAAACCGGAAGAGTCAGAGGATGAAGACAGCGGGAGTTCCGGAGCCTTATGTCTTACTGCAGGCCGCCTCTGAAACCACGAGATGCACTCTCTTCCTCCTCTTCTTCATATCGACCGAATACCCCGTTTGGCATGTACTGTGCATACGAGTGAAATTTCTCCTCGATGCCGTAATAGTGCACCGCATCTCTGCTCTTCTGATCAACCACGGTATTCAACGGGTTTTCTATGGATATGTTGATTTGCGCCAACATTTCCTTGAATGTACGAGTTTTGGCACAAGAGGGTCCAGCTAGGGGCACCCTCATTATCACGCTTCCCGCTACGATATAGGCAGTGCAAGGCTCGCCAGGCCTCCTTGAGGTCAAGGGCGTTCGCCGCAAGCTTCATGACGTTTTCTTCATCAGGACCACGATACAGTTGTTCTACAGAGTCGTGAGCCATTGTACAGCTGTACTAGCGCGCTATGGATATCGGCTAAAATTGTCGTCCGGATGAGGAAAACGTCATGAAGCTTGCGGCGAACGTTTTTGACCTCAAGGAGGCCTGGCGAGCCTTGCACTGCCTATATCGTAGCGGGAAGCGTGATAATGAGGGTGCCCCTAGCTGGACGCTCTTGTGCCAAAACCCGTACATCCAAGGAAATGTTGGCGCAAATCAACATATCCATAGAAAACCCGTTGAATACTGTGGTTGATCAGAAGAGCAGAGATGCGGTGCACTATTACGGAATCGAGGAGGAATTTCACTCGTATGCACAGTACATGTCAAACGGGGTATTCGGTCGATATGAAGAAGAGGAGGAAGAGAGTGCATCTCGTGGTTTCAGAGGCGGCCTGTAGTAATAGATACACCACATTCGAAAAGACGCTGAGGGGTAGTTGGGACGCATCCATGTCCATCGTGATGTCGAAGGCCAACATTCTCTTACCTCACCAACACAATCACTAATCAGAGAAATGGGATTAGGATGGGGAGGACTGAGAGACAGCCCATAGGGGAAAGATGGTCAATAAACAATGCACGGGAAAGTGAAATTGCCAGGAAATCATGAGTTACTATGTTACTTTCACTTGTTTCTCTATTTTCGTTATTTATTTTCTTTTCTTTCTTTTCTTTCTTTCTTTTATAAGTGAGAGGCGGAGGAGGTTAGTAGGGTAGTTCTGGGGCAGTGCGATATTGTCATAGCTTAAGGGCTGCATATAATTAATGAATTAAACAAAAAAGAAAAAAGAAAAAAATACAACCACTAAATTAGCGCTTAAAGACTTGCAGCCCGCGAATTTCTGTGCTATGATACTTAACGAGTTATGTTTCATTCCACAATACAGCAGCTGTGTATGATAAGGGAGATCCAGGGAGGAATCTTTTAATATCTTTGTAGAAGCACTTTATTGATACTACACTTAGTAGTTACTAAGACATGCCTGTCCTCTTGAATTTCTGTTTTTTGTACTTTAGAGAGGCCAGATAGAGCTACTCATGTCTCTTACCCGAACGAAAAAAACCTGTGGAGTCCTCAACATGTACATGGCCACTGGCTACTTCTTATTCATCAACAACATCGGTGCGCACTGTAATATTTGTGATCACAAACAAAATGCAAAACGAGAATGATGCCCACGAGAGCTCATCTAAAGAAGGGGAGGGTACAATCTCCCCTATGGGTGGAGCGGCCTTTCATTCTGATGTGGTCTTACTGATTTCCAAAGGTCGGCAGAGCCTTGAGCAGATCATCGACTGGTTCGAAAAGAATGCCCCAGAGCCATCGAAAGTTTCAATGTCGACCACCGAGGACAGGGTCAGGGATGTCAATGCCGCCTTTGATCCCGCATGGCGCCTTCAGGACGATATCATGAGAGTCGTGGAGAGATTTTACATCATCAATGGTCATGATCAGTGGGCCCCCGAAATCGCTATCAACTTTGAAGATCACATGAAGGTCGTGCGGGTGTTGGATGCAAGGCTGGATATAATACGCTACAGGTTTTCTCAAGACGAGAGGTTCACGGTTGAGAGACCAAACCACCGGAAGATAGAGGCTGAAGTAATAGATGATATGCAACCTATAAAGGGGTGTGGTTTTAGGCCTCGACGCAAATAAGCTGGCTTGAGCGGGATAGAATTGCGGGCGTAGACTCGCTGAATCATACCACGACGGAAGAGATGGAAGCTCTGAAGCTAGTAAGTTCTTCAGTCATCAGCTGAACATAAAATGTCATAAGGCTAATCAACCACAATCGATCGGATTAAAGTAGATTAATGATATATTATATTCTATTACGGGTACTGTGGAGAGGCTTTTGCGGGACAGAAGGTCTCAGAGGTAGATTAACTAGACACACATGCATGTTAGTTGAGCGTGATTTGTAGGTGGTCGGATTAATGTATTATATACGGGGTAACTGGGTGGTGCGTGAAGGTTTCTCATGCAATTTTGTGTTTCTTGCTTCAATTACAAATGCGAAGTGTTGGTTTTTATTCCTAAAGAATTCCGAATTTCAGATGGCTCCATCCCTTCCAACCCCTCCGTGACAGAATATCAAGTCCTAGCTTATCTTGATAGAGGATCGGTCAAAATCAATATTGCTTGCAGCACATCAAATCTCTTCCGAGTCCCCTAGTTCTCCCAGTATTATACTTTAATAAGATTTTGAAGTGGAAACATGATTCCATTGCCGGTCTCCACGTTTCGAATTTTTGGGGACGGAGGCCGGCAAAGCCATGGTTGGGTTAATTAACAGTCCCGGTGTGTTAAGGTTTTTTTGTGTTTATGTACAAAGAACTATCGTATCACGAGGAAGCCAACCCACAGGCTAAGAGTTTCAACTAGTTCAAAGGCCCTTCACCTCATAAAATACCTGTACTGCCTACACGCGCACCTCCGCAGTAAACATCTGGTCCGCCAAGTCCACTGAGTCATACTGCAAACCCTAACCCATGAGACTCGAGTGATAGATCATGAGACAACCTGATTTCATTGCTACCTTACTATTTTCATAAGGTCACAAGGGATAATAAGATAACAATTTATTATACCACGCCCAAATCAATCTGTTGATCACCGCTAGTACGTGACAACTCTCCTTGGCTGGCTAGCTAATTCTATTATGTTGGTTTTGTTTTCAATAACGTCATGGGCATAAGTCCCATGAAATTCTGTCGACAGGAACGGAGTCAGGAGATACAGTTAGGAGGAAAGTTACTCAAATATAAATGATGTACTGGCTCTGGGGTAAATGTGGACTTCTACAGCATCTACATAAGATTTTGGTTTATAAATATTCGCACTGACATCCTTCTTTCCACTATCCACATACCCTTTGTTTACGCTCTGCTGAAGCATCTATATATCTTTATTAATATATAACCAGTATCGACGCTTCTTTTGATGACTAAAATGCACGCCACCACCCCCATCACCATTGATAGCACTGGCACTAGCGGTAGCCACTCCCGGGCTCGCCGTGATATTACCTCCAGATTCTCAGGCTCGCTGAGGAAGTTTGTTAAGCTTCTTAACAAACCGGAAGAGCGTGGGCCGGAGTCTTGGGTCGTTCGATCAGAACTTGCCGACTCATTCTTTGAGCTCAAGTGCGATGGGGGTAATTGGAAATATGACTGTATGAATATTATCCAAGAGCACGAAAAAAGCGTCCCCCTAGAGATCGATTTATTTGGACTCTGTGAGTTTCTCTGTCAGGAGATGCATGTGGTAGCCGACGAACAGAACGATCACACATCCGGGACTGACGGGTCTGATGAAGATCTGATTTCAGGTCTTCATAAGAATTAACGCGTAAAAACCTTTCAGTTTCTGGATTTTAGTGCTATAACCACCAGTTGTGTAGGATACGGGAAATCCAGGGGCCGAGCCCAGTAAGAGGGGCATTCTTTTATATCTTTGTAGATACAATTTATCGGTATTAATTAGTGGCTACCGATACACATATCTCCTTGAATTTGCGTTTTTTATGCTTTGTTTCTGTCTTTAATCTTAGATGACATAATCAATAAATACTCTAAATGAAACTACAAATACAAATGGCAAGTTTCTACATGCTGAGAACTGATATATACATACAAGTATGTACTTTGAAAGATGATATACCTGTATACATGTACCACTTGAGAAGGAACAATAGTAACATCTTACTCGACCACATGTTAACATACTAGCTATAGTGCATCTTACGTATTGTAGCTACCCCCTATAAACCATCCTCACCAAGTAGTCTACTACATGTAGATATATGGGGGACGCATCCAAACTCGGAGTTGGTGACTACCGGTACTACATGTAGTGGCTCCTCATTTCTATTTAAAATCACATTCGGGGTGTTGTCGTGCGTGCACCATAAAGAGAGTCGGTTGTGCATAATTGACAGTTCCTGCGCGCCAAGATAGCCTTTAGGATGGGCCATAGCGAAAGAATCATTTATATTACGTCTTGGAAGCGGAAATTTTTTCCATTATTGAATCAATGTCTTGGGCGGATGGCGCATGAATAGATCCATTTATAATGACGCGTGAGGATAGGTAAAAGTCGAGCTGATTTAGATTTAACTGCTACATATGTACACCCGCAGGAAAAAAGTGAGGAAATAACGAGTAGAGTGACAACGAGTGCGTCTAACTTGACATCCCCGCACCCGCAATACAGCCCCAATGCCTTTTGACAAGTCTGGAAAGCGAAGGGAGGCTACTCTGAATGAAAACATAAAAGTTATTGAAGCCCAAGCTAGGGAAGAGTGGGAAAGGCTAGATTGGGAAAATGTATATAAAATCATTGACAGCATACCAAAGAGAATTGTAGTAGTAGTAAAGAACAAGGGAAGTCATAAAAAGTGGTAAGTATAGTTCAGAGGCCGTAGTATCTATTCTGTATCTCATTGTGCAGTCATATTACTTCTATTCGTTTCCATTTTCACTTTTTCATTGGGGTTCGGATTGGTTGCACTCGTTGTTTCCTCACTTTTTTCCTGCGGGTGTACATAGCTATATATATATTAGCATCTGAGTTTTGTAGTTACATGTATCTCGGCCTTCGTGGGGAATCCATCAAATATGACGAGAGAGGTATAATTGGCGTTGGGATCTTGACTAACCTAGAAGGCGATTCTTTAGACGATATCCGTGATTGCTGATAGTTTAATCTTATATCTTTATGGAACGGAATTTAAAGCGGAGGAAGGGCGTGATCTTTTGCTTATCCACCAATGCTCTAGGGTAGGTCTTCACGATGCATCAGAGATTTTCACCAGCCCAAGTACCGAAACATATATGACTCAAACTGAATATCCATGGAGGGCCTACCTTACTAGAAAATGTGAAAAATTTGTTAGCCATGAGTGATGTTCAAGGGGTGAGGTAAACTTACGATCTGTAAAAAAATATATGAATCAAAGTTATTAATGAGTACTCCGTAGTACGTATTGTCATTCTTTCACGCTCGTAGTGATTGTAAAAACATACCTTTCTTCATCTCGCGTCTCGTGGCTAAACGGTTGTTTGCGTTATAGGCCTGACACACTCGTTCACTGTACATGTTGGGTTCCTGAATGATTAGTTATCGACGAGCGTTAAGGATTTACCATGGGAAAGAGCCCACCCCCTATTGTTTATAATTCGATTGGATAGTTAAAACTTCGTTTCATTTTGTGTAGACAGGGCTGTACTCCTATAGAGTGCAGTGCATCAAAGGAAGACTTACATTAAGGTATTCATATTGAAAATAAGATTGAAGCGGCGGAGAGCCTTTATATCGTGCAAGTCGTTAATATCGCCCGATGTGGTCCATGGAATTTTATTCAAATTTGTTCCAAAGTTGTTTTTAACGACCCACATCTGCACGGTATTTTGAATGACGCCGATTTGCACAAATTGTACTGGCGCAACCGGAAACCATTTCATACAATCAAAACTTGATCCACGAAATTCTCCGGTCAGATAGGTTGGGATAGAGCTTTAGTAAATAGATATAATAACTGCTAAGCAAAGGTATTACTAACCATAGGTTTCTACCTTTGTTGCTGTACCTTCGGCCCCAGCTTTGGCAGAAGGTACATCTTTGACCCTCTTCGTACTCTTTTGAAGGTACATGTAACAAAATTGTCATTGATATTCGCATTCCCGGCTTGATGACGACGCTCCACTGCTCGCTCGATAGAGCCAATTTATTCCGCTCATCGTAGATCTCAAATCTACCATCCTTTACCCATCTCTCTCCGGGCAAAGACATAAAACTCAGCTTGAGGTGACCATAAAATTGCTATACAATGAGTATGAGGTTTAGCAATTATATACGACACTAGCCCTTGAGAATAAAGTACTGCTCAAGACGATAGCGAGTCGGTAACGATTACCTCCCAAGTAGTGCAGTATTCGAACGGGATATCCATACGCCTATCTAGCGCGTCGGTAAAAATAATACCCTCAAAGTCAGGATTTCGAGCGGATGGATCCCTGAAAATAGTGTTGCCGTCCATATTCCGCTTCATTCTAGCGTTGTTTTCTCGCCCGACCTGCCTAATGGTCACACCCAGTGGGTCACCAATCACCACTAAATTAACTAGAGATGGAAAATCAGCCTACAAATCGAAAACTTTCATTTGCTCTTTAAGAGGTCCCATATTTTGCTCGAGCTCTTCAAGTAGAGCCATGATGGACCTTCGTTTGCAGACGGCCCACTTGGCCTTCGTGATGACCGGTTTACTTTTGCTCGATGTCTCTTGGGAGGGATCGTATTTATCGAGAACAGCTCGGATGTTGTCGTAGAGCGCCGTACATTTAAGTAATGAATCTTGATTTTCAGTTAGAGGCCCAAATATCAACGTCGGCTCGGCGTGCGAATCCTCGGTAATGAACTTGGTGAGATCCTTGAGTTTTATGTCGGCTGTCTTCAATCTAGTATGCAGTCTATTATGGGAGGAGGGGAACTCGTGGTAGTCCTTGTAGAAAGTATAGAGAAGTTGAGTACATAGTATCGCATCGCCAATGCTGACTGGAAGGGCCATGGCTGAAAACGACCCGCCGGAGGTTGAACAAGAACTAAAAGGTAGCAAGAAGTCGATATACATATATATCGATTCAGAAATATTGCGCCACTAGAGGATAGCCTCAGTCCGAGGGCTGAGCAGTCAGTCAGGGTGTGCATACAGCCCCGGAAGGGTGAGTGCATCGTGTAAAGCAAATATGACATGACTGTTGTACCTCTACCTCGCACCGTGTCTTGTATACGTATATTCTCGCTGTAGTGGCCACAAGTATGCCCCCAAGAACGCCTCGAGACCGAGCATTCCCTTCTAAAGGTCAAGATGAAACACATCCAGAAGTATGAACCCGAAGGCTCGGCCGATCGGTTTTACAAGTTTGTCTACTTGCGTATGAGAACCTTGATGAATATAGCTTTGGGGTGGAACTTCCAGTTAGATGAGTATGTTAGAAACTCTCTATAACTTGGATGGGTCATTCTTACGTAGGTGCAACCAGAATCTACTTCCCCTACGTACCGGTTTTCCCCCTCTACTCTAACTCTGTCCCGAACCCAGGAACGTGAGAAGGGCCTTGTATCGAGTATACTTGGGGTTGGTTGGCTGGCTGGGTGGATCGTTGGTGACGGTGGTGCACGGTGTGCTGCGTGCATGTTGTTTGGTGGGGCAGTGGGGAGGTTCTCCCGCTACAGCTCACCGCGTGCATACGTGTCCAACAATATTATGCAATATTCCGTCCTTAGAGCTTAGCAACACATAGAAAGATAGCGCGAAATGGTTCCGATAAGTCAAGTTCCGAATCCTACTCGGAGTACCTGTAAGCCTACTATCATCCTAATCACGCAACCAACCGACTTTTTACCGCCTCATGCAGCTACTATACTGGGTAGAAAGGAAACATGGAATACCACTCGTATTTCGCTGGAAACCCAACTGGACTAGGATAACTCTGATTACGCGGATGAGGCGAGCAAAGAGATTCTTATTCGACTACCACGAATCCGGTACTTTTGTTCGAGCCTGTAGGTTTGGGGTGGGAATATGTGGGGCCCAGCTATCCGGCTTAGCATCTGTCGCTGGGCATGTGCTCATTTCCAGTGGAACCTTGATAAGGCCGATCGAGGGCTCTGCAAGTCTTGCTCGTATTATCGTGTATAGCTGTGCGCTTGGCCGGAACAGTTACAACTCGCATGGACCATCTTATATCGGCGGTTATCTGGTGTTTGTAATACTCTTCAAACTATCATTGACACATTGGACGGAAATGTCCGAATCATACAATATGACTCGGATTCTTCTCCTTGGCGTATCAGCCACCTGTACTTGGGGATCGAACAACGGTGCTAGATGGCCTTTCTCAAGGAGGAAGGCATCAACAATGATTAGTTTGTGTCTGTGTGTGTGAGTCGTAGCACCGTTTAGCCAGCACTGTGTGTAAATTCAATATTTGAACGGATGCTGGCATGCATAGCCTCATATTCCACGGCAATTTGTATGCTCACATGGACTATCAACGGGCTGTTATGTGCCTTGTATACGGGCTCAAGTATTAGTTTCTCTCATGGAGTAGTGTTAGAATCTAGATGTTTCTCGGTATGATTTGATTTGCGATAGGCTACGGAGTCTTGGGCGGCGATGGATCATTCTAAAAGGGCTAGTTGAGGCACATGGTAGAGAATAGGGGTTGGTTTAAGTCTCGTAAATATCTCGATATGTTTGATGGTATTTCTACGAGAGCTTGTTCTCTCTTCCGCTCACATGGGCGATCATTAGTGTGAGGCATGATTACAATCGATTAGGTTTTCCGCCTCTAATCAAGTCAACTCACGCTTTCGGACCCATCAACTGATAGTTATGATTGATTAATGGCACAAACTCATACCTATTCGATTATTGTGATTGTTTACAGGATGATATTTCAGGCCTTGGAAACCGAATTTCTTCCCAAAATTGGGATCATTGGAGGACAGATGATTATTTCCGCTGTTATTTTTCCTGGTTTTACTGTCTCTTTATACTCATGATTTAATCGATTTATTGCGAAAGACTAATCATGATTATGATTCGAAATGTCACCCCTAACCGAGTCTAATCAAATTATATGCTCGATTTTCATACTCGACTATAGTCGACTCATGCCGCACACTAGCGATCATGCGCCTTGTATGGGTGGCCCGAGTAATCTCCAATTCTCTCACCGAATAGTAAGGGCTGATTGCTAGAATTAAGAGGCTGTTCAACGCAATTTGATTGGTGGTAGGCTACGGAGGGGGTCTTGGACAACGGCGGATCCTTCCAAGAGGAGTGATTTTTACAATTCAGCGGTTGACATCTCCCAGCATAATTCGATTGGTGGCAGGCTACGGTGTTTTGGGCAACGGTGTATCCTTCTAAGAGGGGGCCGGTTGGTGTATAGGGGAGAGAATGGGGACCACAGGAAGAGCTAAGCTGAGATCGACTATGTATGTGCGTTGTATGAGTGGCTCGAGTGTTGGAATCCTCTCACGGAATAGCAAGAGCTGATTAGTAGAATGTAGAGGTTTCTCAGCATGTTTTTGATTAGTGGCAGGCTGCGGAGTCTTGGGCAAAGATGGATCCTTCCAAGAGGGATTGATGTGTATGGCAGAGAATAGGGATCACAGAAGGAGCCAAGCTGAGGAGTCACTTCGCGCACATACTTGTACACTCTTTGGCCCAAAAATCTAACTAGGATGGCACTCCTAAATCTGCGATTAGTCCGCCAAAACCTCAAAGATATTCCTAGCCTCTACAGTATTCGAGCTCTCGCCCTGCTTCTTGTCCTTTCCCCGTTTCTTCTTCTTTTTCCTCTCGCTGTTGGTCCCAGCCCGCAGTTCCCGACTACTCGACCGTTTCCCGTTTCCGTTTCCTGGCGTGTCTATGTCTTCCCCGTCATCAGCGTTTCGAATGCGGGCGTGATACGCCGCCATCACCTCTCTCACCACCCTTTCCTCGTGTTCCCCAGATAATGACACTCCTTCGAGGAACCGGCTGCCATCTATACACTCTGCCACGCCTGGAAAGGCCTTGAGCCGGTCCTTGCAGTCGTCCTTCTCCGTGGCCGCCAGCACCTCCTTCAGCACAAGCAGCGAGTACCACGCCGCCTGCGCCATCGCAAACACCTGCACCTTCTCCCACGTCCACCTCCGCGGTGCTGGTCGTTTTGCAGCTGCTGTTGATGATGGTGATGGTGGTGGGGAGAGCATATACGCCAATCCCTCCAGGAGACTTCTGTCCGGCGGTGTCTGCCCGCGCTCTTCATACACGCCGACGATTTCTTCCACTATCGTCCTGACCCACCAGCTTCCGTCCCCACCGCCCAGAGCCCTCTCCAGCACGCCCGCCGCATCCGCAGAGTGCACAAACGCCTCCGAGATCCTCTGCCCGCGGCGGCACACCTCCATCACGCCCTCCCTAAACACCAGCCCATACGCACCCGCCCTCACCGCCCGCCCCGCATCCCACGCACTTCCCCGTCCCGGATCCTCCCACAGAAACGGCAGCCACATCCTCCCCCACTCCTCCTCCCGCCCTCCCCGCGAATCCAGCAGCTCCGCAATCCGCGGCTCCACCCCACCTCCGCCGCCCTTGCCCTCCTCCTCCGCTCCGGGCAGCTCATATACCGCGCGAAACTCCCGCCAGCCCTTCCCATACTCGCCCACGGCCACCCCACTGCGCTTCCGCTCCTCGATCCTCTTCACGCGCTGCTGCAGCACGGGAAACGTCGCGTGCGGGTCCGCCTGCAACAGATACCCCAGGAACGCGAGGTCCACGCCGAGTGTGCCCGCGATCTGGCACGGCCGGAAGACGGCGCACACAGCGCCCGGGAAGGTGAGCGTCACGTCGCGGAACATGAGCACGCCCCAGCTGTTCTGCGCCGTGGCCGCGGCGAAGAGGAGGAGGTCGGAGTCGCCCGTCAGCACGATGCCGGACGCGGCAATGGCGTCGCGCGCGCAGTAGGACTCTGCCTCGGCGGGGACGGTGGCGACGGTGCTGCTGTAGGCGGGGTGGGCGGTGAGGGCGTCGATGGTGGCGGACAGGATGAACGGGGGCGCGGGGAGCGGCGTGGCGCGGGGCGTGTAGGCTGCGGGGGGTGTGAACGCGGGTGCGGACGGCGGCGGAGGGGCGGGGCGGGTGGGGAGGGAGTGCGCGTGCAGCGAGTGGTAGGACTTGAGGCGGCGGAGGGCGTCGTCGAGGCGGGAGTGCCGGGTGGGGCGCTTCGACGCGGGGAGGTGCCCGTCGAAGTAGATCTTGCGGCTACGGGGCGCGGGGGGGTGTCAGTGGCTGTAGACGGGGAGGGCGGGGGAGCGGGTGGGCGGGTGGGCGGGTGGGCGGGCTTACATGTGTAGCTGGGCGGCGGACAGCTCGTCGAGGTAGCGGATGAGCGCGTCCTGAAAGCGGGCGTAGCTCAGGGCCGCATCCCAGGGGTTGCCGGACGCCGGCGGGGTGCTGCTGAGGGCCAGCTGGTAGACGTGGTGCGCGAGGCCCGGGCCGTCGATGAAGAGGGGCGTGGGCGCGGGGGGCGTCGGCGGGAAGGCCTCGGGGCGGGCGTAGGGGCGGAGGTGCGTGTAGAGGTGCGGGATGCCCATTGTGTGCGGGGGGGGGAGAGTGCGGGGGGGAGAGTGCGGGGGGGGAGTGCGGGGAGGTAGCGGGCGTAGGTTGAGTGTAGGCTAGGCGGGCACGGTGATCATTGGCGTGTTTGTAGCGGGCGGGCTGTTCTTTCGTGGGCGGGGCGGGTGTCTGTGGTCATTTCCCCACGGTGCGCTGTCTGGGCACGCGATACTTGCAGATAGCTAGACGCGCGCACCCGCAGCCCGGCCCCGCAGAGCCGCACCCGGGCCTGGGCATTGATCACAACACCAAGACTGTTCTTTCTCATCTTCTGTTCATCTTCGTCATGTTGAGATATATTCTACAGTCATTACAGCCAACTATTCACAAAGAAAACAGCCCGATCCAGCCCCATTACAAAACTCCATAACCAAACACCGAGCCCATCTCTCCTCCAGTAGAGTGCATCTAATCTATCGCCCCCCCACCGTGCCGACATACTGGTCCATGTTGCCCAGCCCGTCCACGCTGTACACGCCCGGGCCAGACATGTCCGGCACGACAAATGTGTCTGTTGTGTCTGTGCTGCTGTTGCTCGAGGACCTATCACATCATGCACACATTAGCCCCCTCTCCCCCATTCACCCCCACCCCCAACCCCCCCCCCCCCATAGATTGAAACTCACCCGCGATGCTGATACCCATACACGCCCCCCGCAATCACCCCCACCGCCACCAGCAGCGCCAATATCGCCACCAGATGCACCGTCTTCACGCCACACACCCTACCCTCCCCTCTCTTTGCGCGCGTGTCATGGCAGTCCTGCTTCGGCGAGTATGGCGGCGGGTCCTCCACGACCACGAACGGAATGGTCGGTGGGCTGGGCGTGTACACGGGCGGAGGCGACTCGATGGGGGGCGCGGGCGTGAAGGGGCTGCGGCGCCGGCTGGGGGGTTGGGGGCTGAGTGTTGATGTTGCGGGTTCTGGTGCCGCGGGGGGTGGTGGTTGTGTTGGGGTGGACATTTTGGCTGTCGTGTGCTATCCTGTGGAGAACGAGTGGCATATGTTTACTGTGTAGCTAGTTTGGCAGCAGCAGAGCGAGCGTGGGCCCCGGGTGAGTGGGCGGGCGTTCATGTATATAGTCGAGGGAGCGCCCGGGGTGCGTATCATGATTGCGTAGTGCACTGGGACTTGTCACCGAGAGAGCGTGCGTGACAGGATATCGATCCTGCTGCACTGGTGCCGGCTGTTCCATGGCCAGAGAGGGGGGAGGAGGGGGGGATTGTTGCGCGGATCTGTGGAGTGACGGGGGGAGGGGGGACGGGGAAATGGGTGATTTGTCGAGAGGGGATTCCGCGTGTTCCGGTGCGTGCATGGATCTGGGGTGGTGGTGAGGGTGAGGGTGAGGGTCACGGAGTGTCACTCGGTCGATCGGGCATATGGGAGGGAGGGAGGGAGGGGGGAAGAGACGGAGATGGGGGGCTGTAGGTGTTAAGGGGCGAGGAAAGTCCGAAGAGGTGTGTGTGCTCTATGGTGGAGTGGAGGTTGTGGTGGTGTGTACATGTCGAGGTGGTGCTGTGGTTGGGGCTGTGGAGGTGAGTGAGAAGTTGTGAAGGGGATGCATGTCTCGGGTCATGTATGTGCTCTACATCTGCCGGGTTTACGCATATCAAAGTCTACCAAGCTGTTATAACAGATCTTCTTATCGAGAGTAGTTGAGAAATCACTCTTGACAACCAAGAGACACCCTCTTGTCAATGGCCCACCTTTTTGTAACAGCTCTGTCTGCAAGCTTCCAATACCATTAAACGTGTCTACTTGTGTGAGTTACCAGTCGAGGACATTGTAAATGGCTGGTATGGCTGGATAGGACAGCAAATGGGCCATGGTGTTTTGGTCGCTGGTGGTAGGTACATGTAGCTAACAGGCCAGATCTAGAGTAATCTATAACGTCGTTTAGGCATACTTTGAAGAAGATAACGTCCACGTGATGGGCAGGATTTGCAAATTACACGGATAGTGGTGGACTACATGTCCACAGACGGCGCGGGAGTCGAGTGCTCACGCGTACGCTTAGTTTGGCGTTGTCTGCAGGGCGTGGGAAACCGGACAATGTGAAGCGAACTCAATTGAAGGATGAGATGATTGTGTAGAAAGATGGCTATATAGAATGACATACACGGGACTTGCTTATCCCTTGGGCTGTCGATGCTGACCCCCCTGTAACAGAGGAATTAGATTTGTATGAGAGATCAGCATTTTTCGCGACAGCTTAAGGGATAAGGCCAGGTATCTGTCCACTTCACGGCCTGAGATCACGGCAGAAATCAGTAGAAACATACATACGTGTTTTAAAACTCAGGAAGCACTGTCGTTTGCGTCTCTTGCCGTACGTAGATCTTAAGCAGCATGGTTTATACCCAGGCGGGATTACAGTCTAATGGAGCCTGGCCTTTCTAGCTGCGCTGGCTCTGGGTCTACAGCGGGAAAATATTCCTACTTCTGTTCTTGAGAGCTTCATGTATCCATCACCGATATACTCAATAGAAACTCGCAACCGGTGCGGTGCGGGCCCTGCAATTAATTGTGACATGCATTGCTCTGGATTCGGAGCGCCACGATCTTCCAGTGTGGCATATAGATATTTGCCTCGTTTCCTTACATGTGTTCGGTGGTTCAAAGTTACAAGTAGCTTAGTTAACTGCGAAAGTCTTGCTTTGTTTTGTCGTTTACTAGCAGTCACAAACCAAAACAGGGAGTATTCATCCCAATAGTTCAACTAATTATATAACTACTAAAAACGTCATGTACAAAAACCTAGACAAAATCTAGAAACCCTAACCCAGCACCGAATGCCTTGAACCAGGTGATCGACTGTAATCACCTGGAAAACAGAGTAATGTAAAAAATCTATTTTTAAACAAGTGCAAATAACTTTTGTACCAGCGTTTTTGTTGGAAGGTGACACGGGTACCACAGATCGGAAAGGTTTGAAACCCTTGAGTGATAAAAGACTCGGACACCACTGAAGTGTAATGATTAAGGACACAAATATATACCACGAGTAGTAATCAACGTGGGGATGAAATAGTGTGGTCTATGAGCTGGCTCGAGTCTAGCTGAACACAAAGCTCGAGTTGGCTCGGCTCAATGGGTGTAGGGCTCGAGCTTGTGGTCAATGACCAGAGTTACAGGTTTTTCCCTTGCAAAAGGTGGGGACGTGGAAAAACAGCAAGATTGGTGAAAGTGGTTTTAATATCTAACTAACCAATGTATAGAGATCATTATAAACCCCAATTTCTAGCTCTCATCTCTCAAATATCTAGTTAAAAGCATGGCAATTTTGGCTCGAGCCGAAGCTCGTGTATTAACGGAAAAGGGCTTGAGCCAGCTCGGCTCGTGAAGCGGTAAGGCTTGCTCTCAACAAGCCAAAAGCTCGACCACACTAGGATGAAAATAAAGGCCACAAACACACGGGAGGTAGTTATCATCGAGTAAATGTGCGGGACAAAAGGACATATTGAACTAAGACATTCATTTATTGATTCATTTACTTGCGCTGTAGTGTTGAGAATTAAAAGTGCATGCATGGATAACGAGGGTTAGGGTTATGTCATGGGTATGAACTTCATTCCTTAAGGCAGAGGGGGAGGCCAATTCGAGAAACATTTCTTTGTCCAGTCTCGTACCAACAGTAGAGGGTGGAATATTCATGCTTCCAGTGACCATCTCAAATGCGCCGTTGCCGCAATCATTTCCGCACAAAGATTCAGCCAGAAAACACAGGATATAATTATCACGCCCAGAGTCTATCTCTGCGCCAAAGCTCTAGAGTAAAAAAAAAAAAAAAAAAAGATTAATAAAGCAATGCAACGACAAAAACACTAAAAATACACGTATGCACTAGACATTATGTATCGCCGACGGCCCGCCCTCATTATACTCCACCCTTGTCAAGAAGCCCTGGCTCGCGCCCTGGTCAACCACAAACAGGACCTTCGCGGCCACCTGCGCACCCAGGAACCCAACCTCCTCGAAGCCCGCGTCCTTCCACTCGGGAAAGTACTCGGGCGCCTTGACGTACTTGATGGTTGTCGGTGTCTGGCTGTAGCCGTGGCCGGCGTTGTGGTGGTGGTGCTGCTGCTGCATGTACGGGTTCTGCGAGCCGTGGGTTGTGGCGGCGACGAGGAGCGGGTTGGGCTGCGAGGGGCCTCCCATGGGGTTTTGGGGGTTGGGGGTGGACGCGCCGGTGGCCATGGGGGTCGAGAGGCCGGAGGGAAGCTCGGAGGTGAAGATGGTGTTTGAGGAGGGGGAGATGTGGTATTTGCCCTGGATGGTGGCCAGGAGGGCGTCTTTGAAACCTGCGGGGTGTTAGCTTAATATAGGGAGGATGTGGGAATATTGAGGATATGTACCTCTGACTTTGGATCCGTTGCCCACCACGATCAGAGTCTGCCAGAGCTCGGAGCGTGTGGAGACGTCCTCGACTCTGGACAAGACGCGCCAGAGGTTATCGGCAATCTCGTGGAGGATGCCACACTCCGCGGCCTGGAAACGTTCGATGCCGACCTCGACCTCGCGGTACTGCTCGTCATCTGCGAGCGGTGGGAGCCCGCCAGCCGCGGCTCTCCGCTCCTCCTTGCGCTTTTCCTTTTCCTTGTTTTTGCGCTCGGCATCATCTTCACCGGAGGCCGCGGTGGCAGTAGGGGCGGCGGCAGTAGGGGCGGCGGCAGTAGGGGCGGCGGCAGTAGCGGCAGCAGTGGTAGTGGCTTCTGGGGGCGGTGCAGCGGCGTCTGCAGCAGGCGCTGCAGGCTCCGCGGGTGGCGCATCCGTAATGGACTTATCCTCCCCCTCAGAGACAGTCGCCGTTGCGGGTTCTGCGGCCGGCACCTCCGGTTCCGCCGGAGCTGGTGCAGCTGGCTCCTCGGCTTTCTCGGGGAGCGGCAGCAACGGCGCCGTGGTAGCGACGGCCGACAGAGGCTCCTCGATGATGACCGCCCCCTCCTCGCCGGGCTTCTTCTTCTCGACCAGCCAGAAGGTGTTGTGCTCCCTCTCCCTGTTTGGGAGCCTCCTCTCAAACTCCCCGCGCTTCTCCTTCTCCTTCTTGGCCAGGAACTCGCGCGTCTTTCCGGAGGCGACGATGGCAGCAACGTTGAAGCTCCCGTCCTCGTCCTCGACGTCGAGGTCCATGTTGTCGAGATCCGTCACCTTCCTGTTCTTCTCGCCCGCCGCGATGGCCGCATTGACAGAGCCAGCTGTCGGCAGAACGGAGCCAGAGGAGAGGATCTCGCAGATGGGTGAGCGTTTCAGCTGCTCGACCTCCTCGGCCTTCATGTGCGGTAGCAGGTTCGCAAGGTGCCTCGTCATGGAGTCGCCGCCCCAGCCAGAGACAGTCGCGCGGGCTCGCTCCTGCACAATGAAGTCGACGACGGGGGTGATGTCGGTCTTTTCGTAGCCAACGTCGACGACGGTGGCGGTGGAGACTCCGTAGGCCCAGAGGGCAGCAAGGGAGGCGTCCATGATGGCGAACCCGGGGGCCTTGAGCTTCTCAAAGACAAACTGGGTGAGGAGCTCCTTGTCGCGGTCGTCAAAGTTGGGGGGGTAGAGCATGAGGATGGGTGTGTGGAATGTGGGGTTGATGGTCTCGTGGACATGTTGTCTATATATGTGCAAGTCAGTATCTCAATCGCGAGCCATTGATGACGATGAAGAAGAAGATGATGGGAGAACCCACAGGAGCGCAAAGAAACACCCCCAATCGACCACTTTCCCCTCCTTCATGCACCAGACTGCACCCTCCTCATCGTCGTCGTCCTCGACATAGACCCCGTCCTCGCCCATGTCCTCATCCTCATCCTCGTCACCCTCCGCCTCTGCCTCCTCGCCCTCAGCTGCAGCGGCATCTGGCTTCTTTGGCGTCGCCGACTCCTCCTTCTTTGGCACCGGTGTCGACGACTCTGTCGCGGGGGGCGCGCCCTCTGTAGGAGTGTCCTTTACCGCGGTGGCAGCCCCCTCTATTGCGGCATCATCGACCGACGTCGCCTTCGTCTCCGTGCCATCGTCCATCTCCTCATCGCCGTCGTCGTCCTCGTCGTCATCCCCCTCGTCGTCCTCGGGCATCGACCCCATTGCGGCCTTCTGCTTGGCGATGAGATCCTCCTTCTCGCCCTCGCGCGCTTCACGGATCTTTGTCGCTGTCCATGTGCCCTCCTCGATGCCGGGGAACATGCGACTGGGTATCCGCACCTTTGCGGGGGTGAAGGATTCGGGCAGCCCGAGCTGTGCAAGCGTGGTCTGCGAGCCTGGGTATATTATCTAGGAGAGGGGGAGGGTCAGCCATTGAGAGGGGATTGTGGGGGGTTTTGGGGGGGGGGGGGGGGGGGATTGGGGAACAGAACGAAGTAGCAGGAGGAGGATGGGGAGGAGGGGAGAACTACGAGAATGTGGTCATCGCGGAAAGGAGGCATTGTGGAGTCAGAGTTGAAGACTTGTTCTTCTTCTTCTTCTTCTTCTTTAGAGCCTTCTCCTTCCTTTTCTCCTTCTTCGTCAGGGTGTGTGTGGATTCGTCTTCGCTGTGGACGGTGGTGCTGCTGCTGCTGCTGCTGTTGTCGCGATCTGTGCCAGTGTCTTCTCGCGTTGGCCTTGGGCGTCGCGCCTCGCGTACCACGGGAACGCCAAGCCACACCGCTTCTTCGAGCGCCAAGGGGGCGCCGATGTCAGCATTCCGAGTGACATACAGCGATGCTGACCCATGACGGGGTTTCGCTCTCAACTAATTGTAATTATTATATATATATGTTTTGGTAAAGGAAGAGACTGAGCGCTAGGATGTGCAAACAGAGTGCGTTGCCTGGGTTGAGATGAGGATATCGATGCAGACCATGGTGTTTTGGTGAGTTGGCGATTAGCGATGCAGTAAGGACAGGAGGGCATATGTATATATATATATGTAGTGTCAGCGCACAAAGGAAACAAAGACCACACAGCTACCAGAAGCCTGTGTATCATGACAGCGGTACTCTGAATTGGGGGATCGATAGCCACATTTGAGGGAGGGTACATTGATAATCACTTTGAATTAGGTTTTTAATTAAAGAAGCGGGCGGACCATGCATGGGCCTCAAGGAATCTTTCGAATGGAAAGGGATCGACTACTGGCGGGAAAAGTGGTAATTAATGGGAGACAAGACGCTGAATGTGAAAAGAAGACCGTAGGGAATTACACGCAGTTCTCCAATCACTCCCGCCACGTTACAGCAGAAAGTAAGGAATTGGTTAGGGACGAGCATCAGTCTCAACAATATGCAATTGCAAGTCTTATACGATTGATATGAGGGAATACATGTACCTAGTGACAAGGCTTGCGATCGCTGATGATTGATGGCGAAGATTCGCCAGCCGTACCCCACGAAAGCCACAAGCCTACAACTAATGCTCATGTGGCCAGGCCAAGACTTGCACGATATATTACAAACGAATGAACAATGCAGACAGGTGAAATCCGGCTAATCACGAGCTAACGCTATAACATCACTTCTTCTCTCGATAAAAATAAAGCGATCTAGAAAATAGAAGGGATACCGGTACCTGCCAAGTTTGCCGCTTACGGCCAACATTTGCACTAGCGGCGGTTTGTTTTGTGATGTGAATGAGAATGATCTAGCTTTGGGGAACAATTTAAAGCAATTCAACGACAGGGGAGGATCAACTGAGAGTCCTGTAAGAGAAAATTCATCTCCTTATTACGTTCTCTGAAAATGTACTAATTAAGACTTTGAGTTTCTATCAGGTCTTAATGGCAAATTTAAACTCTATCCAAAACTCGAAATGTCAATCCACATATTAAGAGCAACCTATGTAGCTTCTTGCCGATTAGGGTATTGTCTGGCAATATATCATCTGAGGTAGGAAAGTAGAAAGGTGGTCACTTTGGGGGTAGATTTGGCGTGTTTCAGCAGGAAAGATATGGAGATTGACATTTAATTACCATTACACTTGGAGAATCGTGCTGGTTGAGAAGCTACTGCCAACGATTCATGTTAATATAACACATTCTTCTTAAAGTAGATTGATGAAAGAGCTCCAGAGAGACTTGGGAGACACTGGGATTTTAATAGACGTACGATTGCGCATTTGTGCAAGAGCACGGTTTAAATACCCTACCATAGCCTCCAGGTGCTTGGGGGAGGGGGCCATGGGGGCTTGAGCTCGGCCACATCTAAGATCTCGTTATCGTTATTATCTATCGGTTATGGACAGTTCCATTTGTCTATGGAATCAGGTGGATCGGGGCACGTGTGCCCGGGATTCGTGTCAGAGCCTTTGCGAGTGACTATCCATGACCGAGTGATAACCTGTGCTCGGGTAGTGGGCGTTCAATTATGGGGTAGGAGCGTACTGTTGAGGAACATGCATACCAAGAAATATAAGACATATTTTGTCTTAGTCTGAAGAGGGAGGGGTAAGGTAAACCTGATCATCACGAGCAATATCCCGGGTGCTATCACCCCTCGGCGGTCAGGCCAAAGTAGCTATAGTAGCTGCTAGGTTAACTACATATATATGGAAGGTCAAGTGGTAGGAACCGTAAGAGCGACGAAGTCAGGGCGATTTGGTTATCTCTTTATACCTAGTAACAAGATGCTGACTCTATCGTAGCTACCTACCTTAGTAAACTTGACGGATACTAATTGGGCTTGACTGCTGAGGGAAAAGGTAGCGTATATTGCTGCTACGGTCGGCTTACTTCTGAAGCTATCTGTACGTAGTTAACTGATATTATGCAAGATGTTGTCGGGGTTATCTCCCTGTTGGATATGATGAGTATGTGTATATTTATTTTCAACTCGCTTTCAAGTTGGACGTATAACTGCGATGTGACAGGGACCGTTAAATTAAGAGTTGTTGTATGTATGCGCCGTACTGTAAGACGTATACATGATATTATACCATATGTACCTCAATTAAACAAGTGCACGTAAGCCACACGGTTACACTCTGAGCATCGGAGTGGTTATAACAAAATCGGTCTGGCGAAAGCCCAACTCGGGGGTTTTGTCCCTTTTCCGGTCTCAAGACCTCCTGCCCTCCGATGCCTCTTTCATATACCTTATTTAAGATAGTTGAAGTTCTAAAACAATGCAATGGTACAGTATCTTCCAAAATGCATGGTATCTGAGCCCGTATCGCGTGTCGGTCAGCTTGGGTGCACGTATTGCAGTGAGCAAGAGGGCCAATGAAATATCTTGGCTTCTGATTCCACAAGGGCCGTGTGTCGGGCTAGAATTCACTACATGTATGTAGTAGTGGCGCCAAGATCTACATTTGGCGGTAATGCACGTACCTACATGTACAACTACATAAGTATTAGCTGTATCAGACAAGGTTCGCTTATAATTATGCAGGTCACGTGCCCTTGATCTCGTTCTCCCAACCCCTTGATATCTTGAAGACAGCCGCCAGCAAGGGACATACCGCCATAACTCGAAAAATTGGCTAGATCAAAATTACTTAGATCAAAATTACTTGTACGGGAGACTTCTGGTGCAGATCGATGCCATTCAACCAATCACTCAAGTGGTAATGTAATCCCTGGACGGAGATAGCCAATTTTTCGAGTTTTGGCGGTATGTACATGTACAGTCGCATGCAACAAGTTCCCGCCGTTTTTTGACGGTGAGTCAAACCATAACCACTCCACCACGAACTCTGCAAAATTTTCAAGATATGACAAGTGGCAAGCTGTTGTTATTCTCCATAAAATGGGCTGAAATACTGTACAAATAAATAAAGATACAAACTGTCCAGTCAGGAGGAGGATTGGCCTACTGGATGACCAGATTTCAATGCCTTAGAGAATTCATGGGAAATGCTCAAGAGTGCACTAAAAAGGCAATGAAGTTATAGACAGAGAAGACCTCATCGTGATGATGAACCTTTTATCGCTGCACAAGAGGAGTGGGGGGCATTGTCTCAATCAAAGCTAGATAAATTACCATTAAGGGTTGAGGCATGTCTCAAAGCCAATGGAGGCCATACTAGATAGTAGTCTCAAAATCGTTTTCTTTATATTCTATTGAACTCTACTATGTATTCTCTATTAAATATCTTCACTTGTAGTTGAGTAACGAGTATTGAGGTTGGGTGTTGCATCGTGGACGGCGAGAACTTGATGCATGCGACTGTACATTTGGTAATTCCAATATTCCAATATGTTGGTGGTCAAGACAATATGTTACTACATACAAAAGTCAATGTCCTTAACCCTAACCCTTACACAGTCATCAGGTGTGCCTCATTTAGGCCCTCCACCAGTTAATATAGATATTATCAACGCACATGTATATATACTGCACTCGCAGGTCCAAAAGCCCCACACTTATCGCCACTCTTTGTCAAATTCATTATGATACCCTGCATTTTGATGCTCATATCCGTCGGAATCGGCCTAGCAACTCTCATCCTGACGTTTATCACCAGCTTCCTCCTCTCAATCTTTGCCGGGCTTATCTTAAGTGCTAAGGGTGTGTTGTGCACGATATTAATTGTGATTCTGCCCGTCTCGAGATTAATATTCAGATTTAAGCGCGAAAGGGAGGAGGAGGAGGGGTACGGGAGACATGCAGCTGCGGCCAAAGAAGCGCGAAAGGAGAGGGAGACTAGGGAAAGGGGGCTGCGCCAATTACAGGAAGCTCTCCGCCAGGCAGAACTGCGAGAGCGTCGATCCATGGCTGGAAACAGCCTCGGGGAGCAGCAGCCGTTCGAAAGAACAGGGCCAACTTCATCAATGGATACTAGTATGCCCCAAAGGGTAGGATGGGTTGTCAACCTTATCGAGGCAATTGGTCGCGCAAGTAGCGCGGTTGCCTCTGTACCGGCCGATTTAGATGACCGCGGTATTGGGACGGAGGATGTCAGCTCGCTACTGGGAGGTGACTGTGTGATGTGTTGTGTGCGCGCGGCAGATACACTGGTGATGCCGTGTAAACATCTCGCCCTATGTGGAGTGAGTATAGAAATCCCCGCTGGAGCCTGCATGTAACGGCAGTCGTTAAGTTTTTAAATAGGCGTGTAGCAGCAAGATGAGAATTGGAAGTTCTGAGACCGAGGGAAGGTGCCCGCTTTGTAGGGCCCGCATTGTGGACAAGGTGAGATCTCGAGATCAGCCACTTTGAGGATTGATTTGATGCAGGATTTGCTGACCAGGAGACGCCGTAGATGAAAATCTTCCGGAGTTGATTACAGTGGGGGGTACAAGCTGGGTTCTGTACATATATGTCGGCATGTTTGACAGAGGTCTAATATGGTGGTGTGTGGTTGTGTCTATGCTATTAAAGTGTTCCCTAAGTACATGTACTTACCTAGCGCTCGAGATTCAAACGCCGTGGGTGCGCGTTCTGGAATGTCATTACCTATAGCTGTCATTTCCTACGCGTATCTTGAAACCTCTTATAGCTAGCCCTGTGGGTGGGTCGGGGGAGCCGTTGATAGATGCATCCATTGATCACCATATGTTGTATGAGAAAAGTGTGTCAAAGGTGGTAGGAGTTGCTAAGAAGATCTTGTATGAGGAGATTGTCGTTTCTCTGAACGGAAAAGTTGTGCAGGGAAATGTATTAGCAAAGGTGTAGGTAGGGAAATTGGACAGCTGCACGGTTTTCCCTACTAAATTATAGACGCCTACGCAAACCCTAAACCTACCAAAGTAGGTCATTTTTTCAAGTCACTGATAGTATGCAGCTCAAAGGCTATGGAGTAAATTGGGTATTTGATCGTGGGTAAAAGTGCAGGTAAATGTGTCAAGGTCGACATTTAGTCGGGTTATGGGTAAAATTATCTGGATAGATTCACAGAAGAATAAATTGCTCGCGCTTGCAAAGGCATAGCCAGTTACTTAACCTTGGTTGGTTATTTTATGATATTTATCGGTTGACTGACTCCATGATCCAGTGAGGGTTAAAGATGCGTCGGATATATTTTGTGGATGAGTTATCTGGAGATCTTTTGCCCTCAGATTGTTGTCCGGTTTATAAACTAGCGGGAGTTATGCTGTAGACGCTTATGCACGCCCGGGTCTCGCATCCGGGCGGACTCCAATCAGACTTGCATAGGATTTTAGCTATACACACGAGCTCACTATAGCTATATATATTTCGAATTCCGCAAAGATAACAAAACACATGATCAGTGATATTGGCAAGTAGGACTTTGCTCCTAGCTATAGGCTCGCACCAACAATTTCAAAATTGAGTGACTCGACATGAATCGGTGAGAATCAATGATGAAACCCGCGAGTCTCGATAGCACTGACACACCTATATATGCATGGAGCAATGATCGAATGCGTATTTCTGCTATAATCGGGACTTCATATAGAACTCAAGCCAAGCCTACCAATCGCATGAGTGGCATCTGAAACTGGACCAACATGAGAATATGGTCCGCGTTATTACTGGCGATCAGAAGATCATCACCGCTGTAGAGTATTTATCATATATATATAGTGCGCATGAGCATCAACATGTGAGTGGCATAATATCGAGCTTAATAATCTAATGATCCAGCTCTGTGGTAAATCTCTCCTCAGATATATACATACATACACACCAAAGAGAAAATTCACAAAAGAAATTCGATATAGTTGAAAACAAGACAAAAATTGCCAGTAGAGTGCCTATTCCAGTGATCGATAGAGACAGGAAAGACCGATGCCAAGTAGTGTGTTCGTGATCGATGGCGAGATCTAAACTAGCTGCAGTACTGGACTCGGTTCTAGATATAATCAGACAGTTAGCGGCCGCTGTACGATACTCAGTTCAAGTGATGTCCAGTATCTTACTTTACATTCAGGGCTGTATTAGCATGCATTTCTAAATCTGTGGTGGCGTTCGCAAGATTCGGTTGATCACTGGGTTTGATGTTCGCCTTAGGGTCAATGTTCGCGTTGGGGGTGCTGTGCATATGTTCATCGCGAGGTTCAGGCGCTGTCGACGACTTTGTAAGAATATCCACAAGTTCGTTGTGCTGATTGCACCTGGCTATCTCCAGAGCGCTTCGGTGATCAGACATCGATGGCTCAACGTCAACATCTGCCCCGTGCTGTAGGAAGATTTTCACGATCTCGACATGCCCCTTATCAACTGCAGCTTGTAATGCCATTTGACCACCATCGATAGCACCTGGGGCGTTGATATCAGCACCGTGTTGCAAAAGTAGCTCGACGGTTTCGATATGGCCATTCCCCGCTGCGGCTTGCAATGCAGTCCGACCGGATGTGTGAGCTGCGGTAACATTGATAGAAGCACCTAGAGCGAGTAAATGCTTCACCATCTCTGTATGTCCAGCCTCAGCCGCCGCCTGCAACGCAGTCCGACCTTCCATTTTTGCAGCTTCCGCGTTAACTTCAGCTTTCCTCTGTAAAAGTATTTCTACAACCTCAAGATGTCCACCCCCAGCTGCAGCCTGTAATGCCGTGCGACCACCTCTTATTGCGGGTTCGGCGTTAACATCAGCCATTCTCTCCACAAGTAATTCCACGACATCATGATCTCCATACTCGGCTGCAGCCTGTAGTGCCGTGCGACCAAAACTGTTACATGGACTCGCGTTTATCTCCGCTCTGCTTTGCAAAAGTAGGTCCACGATGTCGCGATGTCCACATCGGGCCGCCGTTTGTAATGGCTGATTTCCATAGCCTGGGTTTGGAGCCCTACATCGGCCTAGTTCGCCAAGAATAGCCTGACGATCTCGATATTGCCCAGCGAAGCCGCGACCTCCAATGCTGTGATCCAGCTTGCCAGAGGACCACCATTGTAGATATCATTGATATCGGCATGGAAGGAAAGAAGAAGCTTAATGATCTCAAATGTTTCCGAGTCTGGTAGCAGCTAACAGTGGTGTTTCCAGCGCAGGAGTTGACGATTTGACAGAGGCACCGTTTTGCAAAAGTAACTTTACGAGATCCAGGGACCCGCCCAAAATTGCTGAAAGTAGTGGGGTCTGTTTGGAATAGCCGAATATTTCTGCCTGTTGATTGTTAGGGCGTGCACCGTTCTCGAGAAGTACCTTGACAGTTTCGACATGGCCGCCTTCAACTGCAGCTTCCAATGGTGTCTGTTCGATTGCATATGGGGTATTGGTATTGATCTCGGCCCCTCGCCCCAAGAAGATTCTGACCAACTCTGTGTGTCCTTCTCGAGCAGCTATCTGCAGCACAGGCGGGGGCGAAGAAGCGGTGCTAGGGATGTTGACAGGAGCACCGTGCTCGAGGAGCTAATTTATCAGGTCCATGTGCCCGCCTCTGTTGGAGAGCTCACAGATGACGGCGGCCTTCAATGGCGAGATTATCCTAGGGTCATGGGTCGCAACTAGATCCGGAGAAGGGTCTGCTCCCTTACTCAACAGGAACCTGACCATGGAGATATCCCCTTTTTCCGCCGCCGCTGCAAATACTGACGAATGGTAACTATTATCCGGAGGGTTGATATTAAGCCCGTTTTCCAGTAGAAGCTGCATGACGCCAATATATCCACTCCCAGCAGCGATTTGTAATATTTTGCGTGGGGGTCGATTCAGCGATGTGGAGGTATAATCCCAACTCATGAGATCAACTCTGTTGACCAGGAGTATCTTGATAATCTCGACATGCCCGTTCTCGACAGCAGCTTGTATTGGTGTCCGGCCATCCGACTTGCCGGGAAGAGTGTCGACAAAGGCACCGTGTCCCAAAAGAAAACGAACCATCTCGGTGCGCCCTCTCTCTGCTGCCGCTTGGATTGCTGCTCTTCCACTGAAGGAGCTGGGATTCTCATGCACAGATGCCCCGTTTGACACCAGAAACCTTGCAATATCAATATAGCCACCCTCCGCAGCCGCTTGCAAGGCCGTTCGACCATATTCTTTTGCTGGTTCGCAGCAACTAAACCCATGAGAAAACATAATCTTCACGATATCAAGATGCCCAGCTCGCGAAGCTACTTGCATGGGGGTTGGGATCAGGCCGTCCTTGTAGTCTGCTTCGACGCCGCGATCAATTCTCAGGTCTAGAAGGAACTTGACAATATCAATGTGGCCACCTCGAGCTGCGGCAGTTAGAACCAAATGAGTAGGCTTGACTCCATTCCCCAGGAGCAGATTCAAAATGTCGAGATTTCCACTGCCAGCCGCTGCTTCCAATGCCGCTACCCCAGCCTCCTTCGACGGCTCTGCGGAGACGTTGGCGGCATGCTCTAGCAGTATCTTAACCACAGCCAAATGCCCGCCTTCACATGCCGCCTGCAATGCCGTTCGACCACCACGGCTGGCTGGCCCTGCATTGACATTGGCCTCTTTCTATAATAGCAACCTCACCATCTCAATGTTCCCAACCTCACAAGCCGCCTGCAACGCCGTTCGACCAAAGTAATTACTTGGATTGGCGTTGATCTCTGCACCGCGCTCTAACAAGAGCTTTATTATCCTGACATCGTTCCCAAATTGAGCAGCGGCCTGCAACGCTGTACGGCCTTCTTCCTGATCTAGTGGACCGTTGATCTCCGCTCCGTGATCCAACATTAGTTCCACAATGTGAATATTCCCGGAAGAGGCAGCCGCTTGTATTGCTGTCTGCCTGTTGGGGGGATACCCGGTGGAATTCACGTCGACCTTATGACTTAGGAGTAGTTGAACTACACCAAGGTGTCCACAGAGAGCAGCTACTTGTAATGCCGTCTGGTGGTCCTGAGTATTTGTTTTGGCGTCGTTGTTGAGACCAAGTTCTAAAAGGACCTTTGCGATTTCGGAATCTCCACGTTCGGCCGCAAGGTACAGGGCTGACTTCCCTTCAATGAGGGCACCAATATCTGCTCCTTTAGATTGCAAAAGCTGGATCATATCTGTTCTCCTTGACTTGACCGCTTTATGGAAGAGGTATTCTAGAGAAAGGCGGTTCGTACTCCCTTGTTGGTAATTTGCTGATCTCAATAGCATTGGGACAAGTAAGGATGAATAAGCTTCCTTCTCCGGAACCGACATTAATTGCACAATATCCACCCCATCACGTCTCTCCCAGAGATTTTGCTTTTAATCCTCCTTTAACTTCAAATCAATTCCTAGTACAGAAAGCTCGCTTTCCAGAGATTTAAGCCAATCATCCATGCGGGTACACTCAGGGTGATCAATATGCAGCCACACATCCTTAAAAGCTTCCAATGCAGCGGGGCGATCCTCCGGGTTCGCAGCCAACAACCCCCGCACAAAGCATATTGCCTCTGGACTTGCCCCTGATGTTACCAGATCATCGACAGGGAACTCAATATTCCCATAATAATACCCGAAGAGAAGAGGGGAGTTCGCTTGGGTCAAAGGCTTTGTAGTGCTAGAAGACACTACCCCCGATATTTTTCCAGAATCTTCATCATATGCAGCCTGGTCAAAGAACGGTCTTTTTGAGGTTAAAACCTCATGCACAAGGATACCTAGTGACCAAATGTCTAAGGCATTCGTGAACTGAGACATCGAAGAAGCCGTCAACTCTGGAGCGCTATAGGCAGGAGTGCCAAGCATGGTTCTCAAAACTGTATTTTCTGCTCGCTTTGACGTCCCGAAATCTGCAATCTTGATATGAAGGGGAATCCGTGAAGCAACAAGAATATTCTAACCATTGTTTGCCAGTTATGTGTCAGTTTCAAACTTGACTATTGCCGGTACGTGAGCGGTCGAGAGCTGGTGAGGGGTAAATACCTGAGGCTTCAAATCCCGGTGACAAATTCCCTCCCCATGCAGTATTACTAGTCCCTCAAGGATTTGTCTGGTGATCGTCTTTGCGCCGGCCAGCGCCTTTTTACGATCTGTAATATATTGACTCAGATCGCCGCACTCCACATACTCCATTGCAAGATATACGCTATTGTTATTTTCGTACCAGCCCAAGAATTTTACAAACAAATCATCACGCTTGGTTTATATAGTTATCAGATGAGACCAGATCATGTCGAGATCGAGATGAAGACCGTGGGAGCGCTTATATCTCGTAGCCTGATTAAAGCTGCAAGCTCGTGTGCGAGACTATTTGGCGATAATATCTTGTCGCGGAGCATCGATTTTACCGCTCTCAATTGCCCTTTATCATCTTTCTCACGCCAAACAACACCCGAGGCGCCAATACCAAGGCTTTTGTCCCTGTTCCACGTGGCAAACACCTTGCGTTCACCTGTCAAGTGAACCACATAGTCGTCAAAGAAGTCTGTTGATAGTTTGAACTTGTCGGCCTCAGAAACTGAATGAGTCATGAGTAAATAGCAAGTAGGGCGGTGTATGCCTGAAATGTGCACGGGTGCGAAAAATGGAAAAGAGATGGTGAGTTAGAGGTCTTGCTGAGCAGCCTACTCCTGGGGTTTTATGTCCATGCCAGACTAATAACAATCGGTTATACGTGTTCAAGAGCTATGTACACATGATTTGGGGAAGTAAATATGTAGGTAAGTAGGTAATACATGTAAGTGTATCATACGTCGAGAAACACTTATTAGTAAATTTCTTTACACCCATGCAAGTCTTGCATAAACCGCTTCGTCACTACAATGTACCCATTTGGTTTGACTTGGACCGGCCCTAAATCCAATGAAACCATCAATTGATCAAATAAAAATTGTGATTTGATCTGAATTATTAATCGCAAGAAATCGATTTAAATCCAAATCATACTCCGCCCATTAAAAGGACAGTTAGAAGGATCTTCTACTATAAATATTGGGATCGATCTACAGCTTCTGCTATGAAACGCATCGCAGACCTATACATAATATAGTGTATGATTGGAATCAATTTGAAAACCAATTTTGACTGGGCTAAATTGTAACCATGGTTTGATTGCGTGATCATGAGTTAAATCGAATCCAAATCAATCAGCAAATCAATTTTTCAAACCACGATTTGTAAGTCATGGTGCATTACATATAAAAAACTACAATCTTAGTTTCGCAACAGCTGGTTGGTCTAGAGCTATCGATCTTCAGGCTGTACTCGGGACCTCTGAACGCCCTCCTCGATTGCTGGGATGGGTGTGCCTACGTGACGTTTCAAAGGCTTGGGAGGAATAAGATTTGTGATCGATTGACAAGTATGAATAGCATTTGTATTTCCTGAGTGAAAAAAGCATTCATGCGGCCAAAGCTTTACCTGCATCAGTAGCTCTGTAGCTGACGTATTGAAAAATCCTCAAATGCTAGAAAATCCTTTCCACCTACAACATACCTCTAGTCAACTGCAGTCACAACAAACCACTAATGAATGCCATAGAGTTGTTCTCCTGGTTCTTTTATTTATAATTATACTTGAGGATAAACGATTCTGGTAAGACCGTTGTTGTGGTGTTGATCAATTGACGTTTCGGAGCTCAGGATCACTAGATTTTGTATTGTCATGGCCTACTGGATAAAGGTTCAGGCTCTGAAGACAGAAACGAAGCTCGATTGTCAACTATGATGACCATGAGACAAGAGAAGAGTCGAGACAAATCTAGCTACATCGGACACGGTCCAGTTGTTGTCTTCCGACCCTAGTCACCTCGCCTGCACCACAACGTGCACGTGACTAATATTACCTAGCTACTAACTCTCTCTGGTGGTAGGCCCCATACAAGATATTGATAAATTAGGCAATCCTATACAAGGAGAGCAGGCTCTTGGCTATAGGAGTCTTTTGGGTTTCAGGATGGGGCGCTGGGGTAGCTGACAGCTGCGGTTGCTTCTATTGATGGGAGGTCTTGGCGTTCTGTAAAAGTTCTACTGCTTAGTCATAAGCGAGTGATTCTTTATGTATGTAACACTTATCAAATTTGAAAAGTCCCTTATGACTTAACCACAACAGATATCAATGATCGGGAAAAACAATCTATGCTTCATCACAGTATTCAAATTTGGCTTTTACAGATTTTGAACATCTCTCGTAGTTGAAAAGTTATAAGAGACTTGGCGTTCTTCTTAAAAATATGTATATTGGGGGCACCGTACGCAGCTAACGAATTAATGCACTGGCGAACACCAAGAGACAAATCCCAGACCTGCCACACCCCAATCCTCCTAGATGGACAAGAATTCCAACCCGGGCATCAAGTCAGATGGGTGGGCTTCTGGCTCTCCCCCTCCTTTAACCCCAACACCCACTTCCTAAGGAGACTAGCCTCAGCAAGGTCGGCCTTCGGCCTTATCCAACGCTTCTCATCCGCAGGCAAAGGCCTCTCCTCCCGCAACTGCCAAAAGGCCGCCACCCTAGCGATAAGACCCATGCTTACCTATGGCGCAAACGTCCTCACCCCAACCTCCGCCCTCAAACCAATGACGATCTTCTGGAACTCTATACTCCGGTGGGCCACAGGGTGCTTCAGGGCAACCAACCGCAAAGTGCTATGGGCGGAGGCGAACACGCCCCCCCTGGACCTCTACCTACACTACCTCAAATGCAAATACGCCATTCGAATCCTACAAGCATGCCCCCTCGGCAACCTTGTAACCGGCAGGACGAGCCCCTCCTTCCCAACGATCTCCAACCATAGAACATTCTCACATACCCAACTCCTCAAAGGGCTCCCCAATCCCCCCAAGAAATGGAACTCAACCGCGCTCAAAGGCGTCGCACACCTACCCATCGAATTCCTCGGATCCCTCCTTCTCCCCTTGATAAGAGAAGGCGTTGCCCCGGAACAAATGAATCGCTATGCAAAAACCCAACTACTCGTCAACTGGCAACTACACTATGCACCCCCAGAATACTACGCCCACCCTCTCTCCACCACCCCGCTTCCCTTCAACGACCTCCTCAAATTCGTTGCAACCCGAATCCATCAATTCAGATCAGGGAAGAGCTATCTCCGAGCCCAAAAGACCTGGATGACCGCCCACACCCCCTCTACATGCGAACGATGTAATGCAGCGGAAGAAACACCAGAGCATGTCATCCTCCACTGCCCCAAACTCGCCCCAAATAGACATGGTCTACTACGAACCATCACATCGCTGAACGATATCTGGAACGACCAGACCCTTACCACAGCACTAGGCGCCTTCATAGTTTCCACAAGAATGAGATATCCCAGAAGCGCCCCCCCATCACCCCTCGCTACAGGCTCCACAACTATATCGACCCTCACATCGATATCCACTATATCCTCACCCCTCACACCAACGGGACCAATACCCGCGATCTATGCTTCCTAGAAAAGACCTACATTAGGCACAAGGGCTCGGCCCAAAATATTTCCTTTGTTCTGCGATTACTTTCTTATGTACATTTCTTTTGTGTTTAAATTTTGGGTTTTTAGGGGACGGGTTTGGGATAGTTCGGGGATAGGTTTCTTTACGCCATAGTTTATACTGCATGCGACCATTCTGTACCTAGAAACTAGAAATGAAATGACTTCACACACACACACACACACGTACGCAGCTAACGACTCCACGGTAGAAGCCTGATATGATGTCGGCTGCGCATAATCCAGAAATTCAGGTAATGGTCCATGCTCAACATGTCGACAGTGACGCCCTCAGAAACACCGACAGGAGAGAGTACGTAAGTCATGTATTTACCCTATAGCTATTTGACATCGATACTATATACACCAAGAATCGAAGGAATATTCAAATACTTACTATACTGGGTCATATAATTGACTCAGAGGTCGCCACTCCACTTAAGAGTGTATAAATATAATACATACACTGGCACCTTAGATATATTCATGAGTAAGAGATACATAACTAGAGGGCTTCACGAGCGAAATCCAGTGTAATGGGGCTCGAGCGGCGGAGATTTCTGACGCCATACAAGAGAGACTAGGATATAAGAGAATTTGCTGATGATCGGTGACATAAATATGCTACTTTATAATTATAAAAAGATTGGCCTCTCCGTGTTGCTCCGCTTTCAACTCCTCTTAGGTGCTGGGATCAATAGACGAGATTTCTGATAAATGACGATGCCTGGACTTGGGGGTTGATCTAGTTTCCGACAATGCCTAGTAGTTTCACACCCTTCCGGGGAAAGTCAATAATACGACTTTCAAAATTATATTGGACCAAAGTAGTTAAGTCAGAATCTCCGTCATCTCCCATGGGAACATGTACCTTATATATCTGGTGCACTGGCATAACCAATATCTCTCGCAGCGCAACCGGTTCACCCAAGCATATAAAAGTATACCAGCATGTAAAAGCAGGACGCTGGTATAGCTCGTGGGGGAAAGGGAACACAAATTGCATCGATTCATCGAGGCTTCTCTACTTTGCCCCCCAGGTCACCTTAACGATTGCCTCCTTTGATATCGTGGAGAGGCAGCACACCTCTCAATTCACGACAGGGACAACATGACAAAGTCCTCGAGAGGACTCCAAAACCATCGTTTATAAATACATCGGGAGACGCAATACTAAATTCGGGCAGCAAACCCCGCATGTATCATGTGTAGATAAAGACTCAAAAATTCTTCAAGTGTTTACTAACGACGGCGCTCAGCACCCAGTCGGTTATTAGAAGCGGACTATGGCCTGTAAACACGGAAACTCGCCTAGGTTGCGATCAACTTTGCCGCCCACATTCTCGGATACGCTATTGGTTGTGCTAGCAGTGGAGAGGTTGCGCTCCAGTGGTGATGGATCTTTTGTTACGTTGAAACACCTTCTAAGTTTATAATTTGGAATCGATTATTGCAAGGGTTTATACGTTATTGGCTGCTTATTATATTCACTTCTCGATCCTTCTTGATGAACTAAAACGTAAAACGTGATTACTCAAAGTGATAATTTAACCGAACTAAAGGTTGCCCTGTTTAATTTGGACACCTATCTAATGACCGCCTTTCAACGACATTTCAGCTAGTCCCCCCCCCCCCGGGGGCTCTATCAGAGCTCGACTAGCTTTGTGATATTGTTAAGTAATTACCGACCAAATGCGTCACAATGTCTCGGGGCGGAAACTGGTTCGCGATGTGTTGCACGCCAGTTAAACCTGAAGCCCTGACTTTACATAGACTAACCTAACCCTAGTCATCGCAAGATATCGATCTCCTGATACCGGGTCCAAGAAGTCTACTTCCACAATTATAGAAGGATAATGGCGGAGAACTAGTCCTAGTTGAAGAATAGGCATGTTAACATTTGTGATCCTGAAAACGGCGGGAAAGGGTCAATCATGCACTATCACTCGATCATTGATCATCACTCGCCATATGATACGCCCTGCAGACATTTTTTTTTTTTTTTGTTTAATTCATTAATTGTATGCACGCCCTGCAGACATAGATTGGAGGTCTACGAACCAAACTGAAAGAATAGTCTGAGTCTAAAATGAGGAGCCCTATTCGATAATCGCGGTTGATCACAAGCGCAAAGGAACCGGGATGGGCCGAAACATCGATATCATGTATACTTGCGAGTGAGATGTTGAGATTTGCGCAGGTGCAGTTGCAACTGTTATCTAGTTGAGGTAGCTCTTATGACATTTCTTGAAATTCGAATGTGGAAATAGAGGTTTTATCTCATCGCAGTGTGCCAAGATATAATTCTTTGGGCCTTCAACTAACTAAATAACAGAATTTCGTAAACGGAGACAATAGTGTTCTCCATGAGACGAGACGGCTTGAAGTCTTGTCTCGAACAGCTCGACACCAAATATTTTTTGTCTCGAGACTGGCTTGAAATTTGCCAAGATGTATTAGTGTCATAGGGCTAGTAATAAAATAGTTAATGAAAATTGGAAATTTTTTTTTTACTAGGGGTAAGTATCATGCAACCAGTTTTTTCTCCACCTCTACTGACTCAAATTCAAGATATCGAATTCTTGAATATCTCGACAACAAAACGGCGGAGACAATATCTGATTGAAGATTCGGAATCTGCGGAAGAATCCGGTCTTAACGCGAATATCCAAAGTACGTAATGATGAGCTTTCATTTTCTATATTGTGGGATCGAGATGCTTATATCTCAACAGTCAGGACCTGCGGGTGATATCTGATTGCAGATTCGGAATCTAGGCAAAGAACTGGTCTTAACGCAAGTCCTCAAGGTATGTAACGATAACTTTGAATTTCCATTTTCTCTGGTATCGATTCCCTGATTTGCAACGACCTGAACGTTCATGAGACGCCCAGCCTATATTAAAATGTCTGCTTCATTCTCGAATCATTTCCTTTCAAGTCCGCCAGCAATTGCTTTGTCTGAGGATGTTCTGAATGATTCTCAACCAAACGCCCCTGATATCACAATCAAGGATGAGATTCAAAATCTGCGGAACCATTTAACAGGAAATTGGGGTAAGATCACATTTCCCACAGAACTCTGCCAATTGTACTGAAAGATTATATAGAGAAATTGCAATCTACAAACACGGTATCGGGCAGACAGAACTCGCATGAGAGATTCAGTGCATATATATATTCGCGCAGAATGATTATCAGAGAATCAGTAATTTTACCTGAACCGCACCCAAGAGACTTTCCCGCAGAGAGTGAGATGGCCCTCAAAAGACACAGAATCCGATTCTGCCATTGTACAAAGCAATGGGGTCCGTACCCAGAGTCACATACCACAACCAGCCAGTATTTGAGACATTTTCGCAAGCACCATCCAACCTTACCCGAAACCCTGGATAAAGAACAAGAAATGATACGGGCTATTCAACTTACATACGCAGGTGGAAATTTGGGTAGTAACAAAAGGAAAAGATTACTTGAATCTAATCCTTGGACTCTCTCCGCTGTAGTGGGAAAAAGCAATGCGCGGGCATTTGGTCAGCCATTCGAGCTCCATATATATAGACGGCTTCTTGCTGAGTTTATCGTGGATACAATCTCATCCTTTAGTCTCGTTGAGTCGAAATCATTCCGTTCTTTGTTACAGTACTGTAATTCTCAGGCGGTTTCAGTCAGTTCTAATACTCTTCGCCGAGATATACAAAAAATGCACGACCAAGTCGTACCAGATATCAAAAACAGACTTCAACGGCATGTTGCCAGCGGTGGTTATATTAATTTGACTCTCGATGCTTGGACTTCAAGTAACAAAATACCGTATCTTGTTATAACAGTTCATTGGATGGATTCGGCCTATAATCTACAAGACTGCGTTCTTGGATTCCGACGTTTGAGAGGATCGCACACAGCAGACAACTTGGCTGAAGTTGTGGCTGATGTGTTAAAAGAATTCAGTCTTACCGGCCATCTCCTATGTATAACGGCTGATAATGCAACAGTAAACGACAAACTGTTTAAGGTATTGGAAAGAGATTATTTTTTCGGAGAATGGTTGCGGAAAGATGGTCAAATACGGTGCATGGCTCACATTATTAACCTTGCCGCACAGAAGATTCTGGTCAATCTGAAAGGGGAAGCGGATCTACCTGAGGTAGTTCTAGCAGAAGATGAAGGAAATATCCCAGTCGAATCATCCCCCTCTAGTGTTCTTAAAAGATCCGACGTATTCTTTCAAAAATATGGGCTTCTAATCTGCTATTAGAGGTTCTACAACGGGAGTGTCTTGTCATGAACCTCAAAAGTCTAAAACCATTATTGGATATGCGTGTTAGGTACATCTATTCTTATATTATTTTACAAGTACTTTCGGAATGATAACAGTTATAGTTACTTATTTTTTGACAGATGGAATTCTACATATACTATGTTGGAAAGATTTATATATCTATGTCCTGCTATCGATCGGATGACAGCTCTCGAGTCAAAACTGCGACCATACACACTGATAGAAACCGAATGGAATACAGTAACACAGCTTTCCCGAATTCTGCATATTTTTCTACAAGCTACTCACGACCTAAGCGGGAAGAGGTATCCGACACTGGCCCTTCAACTGCCATATTATGAGATGCTTCTCCGGGACATCAAGAACGCGAAAGATAGAGAGGCAACATCATGATCAAGAGACAAATCACTCTTTAACGCATGCAGTGACTCATGGAAGGTATTGAACAACTATTGGAATAAGACTGACGATCAATCTGCACCCGCTATTGCAATTCTCCTCGATCTCCGCTGCAAGACTGGTGCACTACGTCAGCTTGGATGGTCACAAGCATACATCAATATAGCAACAAATAATTTAGAACGAATTTACACAGCAAAATACTCACCTCAACCTATTCTGAATGAGAACGAAGACCTAAATACCCGGGAGTCCTCAGTGCCTATATGCTCAAGTCTAGGTCTGTCCGATCCAATAGTACATTCAAACAGATCTATCAATATCCCTGATATACTTTTTGGATCTGAAGAAGATGAATTTGATGCAGCGGAAATAACCCTTCCGGAATCCATCCAATATTTGATTGAGGCAAGAGCAGATAGGATAGCAGACGTGACAACATGGTGGAAGGTACACGAGAACAGGTTCCCCAACCTGTCTAAAATGGCCCGTGACTATCTGTCAATTCCTGCCAGTAGTGTTCCAGCGGAGCAGCTGTTCTCAAGGTATATCTTGCATTTTATTCCGCATTGCCATCATTTTTAGAAACTAAATTATAGTAATTAGGGCCGGAGATATTATCACTAAGAGGAATAGAATGGAGGCATCAGCCCCGGCTCTGCTCTTAACCAAGAGTTGGCTGGGGTTACCGAAGATACAAGCTTGGGAGATTGAGGAAGAGGAATTGGATGATACAGATATGGCCCGCATTCTGATAGATGAGTAACGCCTGATATCTATTAGCGGAATGTTATAGAAGTTATTATAGAAATTGAAGTTCTCTTAAACTACCTCGTGAGGTTTGTGCATGGCCACAGCGGAACAATCCTCATCATGACTGAACTCAGCTCACAAAACGGGCCATAACAATATAACAAAGCATTGGGGCCCAGTCGGACAGCTCTGCGTAACGATGATCACCTCGAAGTATAGGTTCACCCGTGAAGTCTAGGTTCACAGGGTCTCACTCGGTTTCTCAAGCCTATCTCGGGACGGACAAGACAAGATGAGACACGCGCCCCACTTTTGCAAGACGAGACAAGACCGGGCCTTGGTCTCGTCTCGAACGGTGTCGTGGAGAACACTAGGAGACAAGAAAAACGAGGAGAGCAGTGGCATAAACTAAAGCTGGGCAGAGGCGACAGAACTCCTCCCCCGCGCCACAAAGGCTTTGAAAGTTAGAAAAACCTCCTCCATTCCTAAACGCGAGTGTCCCTCAATGTTTGCTTGTCGATCTTGATTTTGATGTACTCAGTCCCAGAGAATACATAGACCTGATCGTCTTTGCCCGGAACAGGCATACACGCATCAACCGTGGAGAACCCCGCTTCCTTCAAGGTTGGCCAGTTGTCCTGAATATTTCCCTGCGCATGTCGATCCTCACGAAGGGTCTCGGGGTCGATTCTGAACCTGACATAGTTCGCTCCATGGAACATGTAAAACTGGTTGGGATGTCCGGGGACCTCCATGGTCGCATCGACTGTATTAAAACCAGAGTCTGCCAGCATTGGCCATTGACTTTCAAATTTCGTATGGACCGCTGTCATACGGAGTGTCGGATAGTGAAGACATGTCTAGTTTGCACCGTAGGTATTTCCCGCCAGAGAAGAAGTATAACTGATCATCCTTCCCGGGTACGCGCATCGCGGCATCGATGGTGGTAAAGCCGGCATTCTTGATGGTAGACCAAGTCTGTATATCACGTGCAACCCGGTGCCCGGTCATGCTGTCTTTAAGGGTAGCTGCATCAACGTGGATTCGGATGTATTGTGAGCCGCGGAAGACATAGAACTTGTCATTCTTTCCCGGGACAGGGGCAACGGCATCAAGACGGGTGAACCCCGCCTCGGTGATTGAGGGCCATTGGTTTGCAATCTTTGTGGGAGGGTTGGTAGGGGCCATTTTGAGCGCGTCTGTTGCGAGTTAATGGAATTTTCTTACATATTAGAACGTAGGCAGGGCTTACTTAAAACTCTGAGGTTTTGATATAGTTTAGATAGAGCTACAGTGACCAAGATACTAATTTGATGACTTTAGTTTACCGCCATAGTTAGTCCTGATTATGCAAGCGTGCCTCCTTAATTGTAAATGTTTACTCACTCAAGATAGAGAAGGGTGGAGAGGAGGGACAAGAAAGAAATGATAGGGTCGGGGGCCGGTAATTGTATACTCTGAAGATAATAGTAGAGAAGGCCGAAGGGGGGGTGCCGGATGGTTTGAAATTGTCCTACACTAGTGGGCGGGTACCCTTTTTGAACCCCCAGAATATAACATAGCGTAACCGGTTTCTCACCCGGAGAGAATTCGGGATAACCATTTTGTGACATATAAGTGGGGTGGTCAATCTGTGCATGTGCCTGGTGATGAAAATCGATTTCCTGCTTCATATTCAGCTATTATTCTTTCTATGATCGCTATATGCATTTGACATGTCGTGTATGTATCTGAGAATGCGGGTGGAATCGTATAGAGGAAGAGGTGTGAGATTACGTCTCCTGATGTCTTGCTGCAAAGACCAAGAGGCATGGTTAACTGAATCCTTCCGTCTGTATTCAGCGCCTGTGCCTTTCTGTGGGATTGTGTGGGAGAAGTCCAATCGAGGGAATGATATTCGTGAGCAGTTAAGAAACTACTGTTAATCGCATATCCGTTACCCATCAAGGCCTTGTTTGGTTGAATCTGGCGATCACTACTATCTAAGAGCGCCAAAGCGCTGTCTACCAAGGTCGTGAAAAGTACGCGACAGACAAGGGATGTTAGGAAGTTAACGTTCGCTGGGAATCAATCCGTGTTTTTAGTGATATTGTCACAGCCCGTATGCCAGCGGAAAAGATGCTTTCGTTGATCTAGATCTATTGATCCTTGTGTATATTAAACGACGATCTCTAGCTATCTAGCTTACCCCCCGGCTGCTTCTGTATCTCTTGGGCCGGTGAGACACGCAGATTCCAGCACTTCCTATTTAAGCAAAGCCAAGTCGCGTTTCCTCGAATAATAGAGCGTGGTTTAGTGATTAAGCATCAGGCTTAGTGATACTGAGATAGGAAGTACTGGAATCTGCGTGTCTCACCGGCCCAAGGGATACACACTGACATTGTCTATAGTCGGCGAGTTGTTACATATACGTTTGTCTCTTAAGGCCTTGTTATAGATTAACAATGCTGTAGTAGTATTAAGGATATCGAGACTCGCGATAGTAACTCCCGCTAGAGTTGTATTGTGGGGGCATTTTCGTAACGGAGCAAACACTACATACATGCATGGAGGAGCGTTCTCAGAGCTTACGGTTCTCGGTAATAGCGAATCAACTGGCCGGTACATAAGATGCATGCTCAGATATATGAGAGTGTCTGCCCAGACAGAAATGGGCGTACCTACTCTAGATCGACAGTGCATGATCTACATGTACTTACGCAAATCATTTTTTCTTTTTTTCAGCCCGAGAGGAAAATAACTCTATGCGAGAACAAGTATGTACTTACATGCACATACCCATCCCTCCCTTTGTGACCAATTGGCCAATGATACAAAAGCCCGCAACATCACCCAAATCACCCCCTCCCTCTCTCATCACTCCCCACCGCTTGAACATGCTCCTGAATTAAGGAATCTTAGCTAGACCTCTAAACAACGATGTCCCTCCACCACCTCCCAGCAGAGCTGCTCCTCATCGCCGACTACCTCACACCCGGTCCCCTCCCCTCTCTCCTCGCCGTCTGCCACTCACTCCGCACACTCCTTACCCCCCTGCTCATCCAACACGCCCCGAGACCAGTTCCCACGCCTCACATTAGTGGGAAGATCCACTTCGGACCCTCCCACCCCCTCATGTGGGCCGCGCGGTTCAACTGTCCCAGCCTTGCCCGCACCTTCCTAGCACACGCTCCCGCAACTCGAGAACGCGAACCCCACTGTCACGCACTAATAGCTAGCCGCTTGCAAGAGGGATAGCCTGGAGATCGCTCGCGCTCTCATTGCCCATAATGGCGGCCCCCCCAAACAAAATCATCTCGGGCTCGCCATAGGCCATGGCAGCTCCTCGGTCGCATTCCTCCTCATGGACCACGGTATCGACCCGGTTGGTTGCACAACAGGCGTGTGGTTCGGTAGGACTGGAATCCCGCTCTTCCTGCAAGAGGCAGGTTACAGGGATGTGCGGTTGATGCGGGAGTTTCTCGATCGAGGAATCGATGTGAACACCCAGTGTTGGCGGCGGTGCACCGCGCTGACCATAGCCGCCGAGTATGGGCATGCGGCGTGTGTTCGGCTCTTGCTGGAGAGGGGTGCGGACGTGACGGTGGTGGATGGGGATGGGCGGACAGCGTGGAATATGGCGGCGGATGGGAAGTACGAAGAGGTATTGGAGTTGTTGAGGGGCACGGGGGCGGAGAAGGTTGTGGTGTGGAGGTCCCACTTACTCGACCCGTTTCCAATCGCCCCCTGGCCAGCGCCGTGGTCCCCCTTGCATATATATAATATAGATGGTCATGATAGGGAGCCTTGGGAGTCTCGTAGAGAAAAGCTCATTCAGGACTAGCTGGGCTCAGTGGAGCACGTATCGTGAGGCCAGCTGTGCGTGCGTGTAGTTTCTTGCTGTTAATTACGTGTATGAATATCTCAGCGTAGCGTAAGGAGTGGAAACAATTTTGTTGGATCGTATTATGAGTGATTTCAAAAACCGGAATGCATCAAGTTGGCGCTTTCTTTTGGTATTTCTCGCCTATCCATATATGTTTGCATGTACAGCCACTCTGCAAAAGTGTTCGTGATTCCGATTTCGGAGTGAGACATTTCTCTATACATATGTAACCGTGGCGGACCATTAAAAACCCCAAGAGAAAACTTTCCCAGTGACCAATGGAGCCCGGAATCAATTAAGAATAAGATCAATGACCTATCTCCTTTTATATATATATAGCCACGAACTATATTATATATTTTTTTTTGTTTTGAATCTTTACATTAATAACATCAACGTCACGGGTGCGCCACACTGCGCACTGACATTAAAACTAAATCACGAACACTTTTGCTGAGTGGCTGTATGTAGTCCTTGCGGGACAAGACCCTGTTCTCGTTGAGCGTTGTTTCGCTACTGGGCTCACCAGATATTCGGTCAGCTTGGAGCCCAGTAGCTGCCCCCCCGTATGCGGTTCCCGTGTTCCAGCATTCGGTACCGAATATGTTGTATGAATGGAGACGCTGCTCGATTGGCTACTTTCTATCCAACTTAGCTATATAGCACAGGACGTCTTGTCATCTTAATAGAGGTGAAATAGACTTGCAATGCATATATATGCTAACCTGTTGGTCTGTACATGTCTTGACTATACGGCAATGGGCTGGTTTACTTATATTTCGATGAATCAGGTTTGATGCTTATAGTGAGACAAATACTGAGTGAGGCGGGAATGCTGGATTTTACAGCCTGCAAGTAACTACGTACTACGGAACTAGGAGAAAGGATCGAAAGAGAATGATATGTGTCGATAATTACCTAACCCTAACCCCAGTATATACCCCTCGAAACCTGCTTGGTCTAACGGTGTTTCTGATAGAAATGATATTGCTTGATTGAAAGTACGCTGCTAATATCTATGCTGAACAGGACCAAGACATGAGACTAAATAGAAGATACAGACAAAGGAGATAAAGGAAATACTCTATCAAAGCGGTTCGCTGCATGACATATCCGCTGTATGACATATCCGCTGCATGCATGACAGGTTCGTTGCATAAAAGAAAAGGACAAGAGTTTCCCTACCGTATTCCATCAGTTTCCACCTCTTCTCTACACTGAAGTGTAACTGGTAACACTAGGAAATTATGTACTTTCGACTAGTCTTTCTAGTGGCCTCATAATGTGGTGGCGTCAATCTAGCAAAAGGTACATGTGTAGCAACGCATTAATGAGGCCTCACCAGTTCGTTAACGCACTGTACAGCCTCTAATTGATAGAAAAAATGGTTGAAAAACAGTTCTAGGCCCTGAATAATGTTCTCTGAGCTTTAGGAAGATTTGGAGTTTATCCTTTGTTTGCTTCTTCGGAATAAGGATTTGGCTATGCGGACGGTTTCCCTAGATCGACGCCCATATTCTGTCCTTGTATGTTCTAAAGAGTTGGTAAAACCCCCGAACTTTCGCAGTCAGACCATTTCCGAACTTTAGTGAGGATGTGCCACGAACACGTTCAGCTTCCGAACGGTACGCGTAAGAAATAAATATTAACGTCAACTCATCTCGGCGGTCCAAGTTCCACGGCTTCAATAAATCTCTACATCTCCGTTACGAGATGTTTCGAACCTCAGCCATATAAGAATGAAATCGAAAACGTATTTCTTCGCACTTAGGAGGTTCCGTTCGTGGATTGACGTATTTCGCGCAATAGTGCGAATAACAAGTACCTTCGCCGAAAGACATTCTAAAAGAGTGAAAGACGCGACTCTGAGCGCAATAAGGTATTACATAGTAATCATAAGGAGGTTTGACCAGAAAACGCCTTGAAAATCGTATATCCAAAGTATATGCTATCCCGAGGCTCAGCTGGCCATAGCTGATATCTAATGAAAGCCACGTGATGTGTTTGAGAAAACAAAATTAGTTTGAAAATACTTTCCGGTGATCTCGATATTGGGCGCGCGCGTCGATGCTTTACAGCGGAATGTAGAACCATCCATATCCACTAGAAGTTCCAAACCTTTTCTAGAGTTGATTGGCTCGAAGTATTTTCAGCTGTCTCGTGGTATTGATGAAGAAATGTTTCAAAGGAAGAACAGTTTAGATCCATCGAAAGATTTCCTTTCACGTGGGACTAGTGGCAAAACATGGGGGTGACAATTCACTGATCAGTACCGTAGGGAGAATCTTATCTCAACTATACCACCTTCCGAACCATTTACCTGAGATCAGAATAGCTTTGAATATTCTATGCTTGATGATCGTACTCGTGAGGGAGGGCTTGAAAAGATTATTTCTTTGACGACAGAAGACTCATTCCTCGTGAGATTGGTGGCTTAGGCGGGGGGCGGACCAAGCTGACCTGCACCGTTTTCGCAGTGATCGGTCAGAATATGATGGAAAATTAAAGCACTCGCCAACAGCATCGCTGCTCCCATGGATATTCTTGTTGACGTAGAAGCTAGAGATATCAGGAATATGAAAGTATCAGTACATTAGCTCAGAAATGTTGTCGGATAGGCAACATCATGTGAAGCTTAAGAGTGCTTGGCCCGTCGACTCCCTGACTTGTATTTCAACAGCGACGCTCGAGACTTTAAATTACGAGTAATGGAATCGCGAGTAATAGAATCGCGGGCGGGGGACACTTGCGAATCTATGACTATCACAGACACATAATTAACTCATCCGCCGCTAGCATAATCAGTTTTCCTAGCCCCATCGCAACGGGTGCGAACGTATGGGAGCTTCATCATCGACTGTCACTCGTATGACAGGAGGCTTGGCAGATTCTTGTGAAGGCTTGGCAAGGTGTCGAGTGAGAATACGTGATGAAAAGACCCACCATCACTGAGTGTGCGCAGTGTTTTGTAGACCTTCAGCAGCATTTTCATTACTCGTTAACAGGTCTTGGATGTTCATTCCAACTTTCTGGCTCCTCCCGCCTTTGTCATTAATTCCACTCAAATCACAATTAGCCATTTTGAGAGAATGTTAGGCTATTAGGCGTGGGCCAGATTGACGGATCTACTTTGCCGTGAATGATTTTTGCGGGGGGGTAGATTCACATGTAGATGGGGCTAGCTAGATTTTCGATGAGGTTGTGACATAAGTTATATATATATATACATAAATGTAGAGAGTTTTGAATATATACACTAGTGGTTGATCGGACAGTCTGCGTGCACCTTTACCAACACCGCGAAGCGTCTCCCGATCTCCTTGATCTCACTTGGATTGTTGTATTTCTTTACAAGCAGAGGTACCATCAGTCAGTACCACACTTGTGTCGGGAGCGTATTCCTACAGTCTTTGACACTTAGAATCGTTAATTTATCAAGTTACAGGACCAGATGTGAATTTCCCCGGGACTCGGTACCAATTTTGTTATTCAGCCCGACTTAGGAGTTATGAATGAAGTGATAATTGAGCCTTTGCGTTTGGCGAGTTGGGGTCTATGAGCCACAGTCTCGGTGGTGGCAAAGTAGTACTGTGAGATGCAGCTGGTGGTCTGACGTAGATCCAGCGGCAACGCAACGAAATTTGACCTCCCAACTTCGCATACTTGCAACTCGTCCATTTGTTGTCCGATTATTGCGCTTTTTAGATCGTTGGGAAGCAAGAATCAAGCGCTACCTCCCTATAAGGGGACTTTCCTTGAATACAAGTAGGTGTGACTGTAATTCCGATTTCGTCTAGGGTAAGAAGCAATGATGTCATAGGGTCATGGAGGCGATTGAACAACTCTTTCAAGAGTTCGTATAGGGGATAGAAGAGCTGGAGCACCTTGTTAACCTGATACGGTATGATAATACTAGGTGGAGAGGTCAGCAACGGGAGGGTGGCTGCATGATTTAGAAAGCGTAACAGGCAATACATGATTGAACTATTTCCAGTTTGTATTCTTAGGTTTACAAAAGAGGAGGTGTATCGGCTTGCCCTCTGTCTACGAATTCCCGATGTTATACAATGTGATAATGGCATTGTTGGAGATAGAATCCCAACTTTATGTTTGTTATTGGCGCGGTTTCCCTGGCCTAATAGCCTCGCAGAAGTCCACCTCAAGTTTGGGTGGAAACCAGAGAGAGTCTCCCGGACAGTTAATACTTTGATAGGGTTTCTTTACGAGGAATGAAAACATCTGTTGGTATTTGATGCTGAACGTCTTACACCTGAAAGACTGGTATCTTATAGACATATAATACGAGAGAGAAGTGCTATATTATATACATGCTTTGGCTTTATTGATGGTACTATCCGGTCAGTAGCTCGTCCTACATGGGGGCAAGAAACGATATAGAAGGGATGGAAACGAGTAAACTGTTTGAAATACCAGGCGCTTGTATATCATGACGGAATTATGCCACATTTATGTGGACCAGTTGAGGGACAGCTGAGTGATTTAACAGTATATAATCAGAGTGGACTTTCTGAAGTTCTTGAACAACATGCAAACGCCCCTGATGGTACTCCATTCCAAGTATATTATGGCTCGGCATATATAGGAGCACTCAAGGACCACCTTTTTACGCCTTATCGAGGTGTAGCACTTGATCAAGAAGAAAGAGATTGGAATAAAGCTATGTCAAAGATTCGAATTATCGTTGAATGGAGTTTCAAAGAAGTATTGCAGCTGTCTATATTCCTTGATTTCCCAATGAAACAGCATGTATTGAGCTCTCTCGTCAGTCTCCAATACCCAGTAGCAGTAATCCTACCTCACGCGCATGTCTGTTTACACCATCCTCAAATTCCCTAGTACTTTGCAAGAGAAAACCTTCTTGATTTACCTGAAGAGATGAAGGTACCGGGGCTGTCCCTATCGCCTACTCTTGAGTAGTATTTTCATTCACCTAACCACGCCGTATAGTTCCCTGTATCCAATTCTGAATGATTTTGTTGGTTAACTTCTGAGAACGTATCAACTCCCGCATGTCCTCATGCCACTCTTCGTGTTCTGACCGAGTCGTAAGAACGTCCTATCCCCCCAGGAAGTATGATTCGGACGCCCTATCCACCAGGTACCTGTTTTACCGAATTACACTCAAAAGGTCACCCCGCTCACCAGAGAATTCCGACCCCATTCAGCAGCGACTCACAACGCGAGATAGCCAGGTCCAAGGTGGACTTCATATTGGGGAAGCGCTAGTAAGACTATAGAGATCTAAAGAAAATATTGAATACCTTATTCATGCCATGTCTGATCGTCGCCTCCGCGTTTGATGATTTAGCATCTCTCCGCATGCAGGTATTTCCTGACCTTGTTGGCACAGCAAGCATAAAAGCCTCGACTGATAAGATGTCAGTTATTCAGTTATTTGTTGGAAAAAGACTTAGGCTTGAAGACTATAATTGTCCTGGCTGAAGTGAGGGCATTGCCGCACAGGCAGCGTTAGCGTGCTCATGTGGAGGAGGGTGCGTTCTGGCGCGCTCAATTGCAAAGCGCGCTGACTTATGGGTGGAGTGTTTCCTTATGATTCGGGCGCTAATTGGAGGTCTATACGATATAATAGTTTCCTGGCCGATAGGGCACCCAATTCGTATGTTCTGCTGGACAGGACGACTTACGGATCGGACAGAACAACAAGTTTTCTCAAATTATCTGTGACCGTTGTCCATCGCTCCTCTTTTCTCCCAACCATATTGATGATAGGATCATCAGCTAACACTTGTGTAGCGAGTGCTCTATCTTACCATTCAGCCCAAGCGGCACCTCTCAATTTTTTATTTGGTCCCTTCTTCCAAAAACCCGGAAACCCGGGGTAAAGGAGAGCAAAACTCTTCGGGTCCGGGTCCTAAAAAGTTCACTGCCCTTTCTGCGCGCATCACGAATAGCATGAAGAATCTGAAGGGTTTTTGGTTTTTCTGACATTTGCGGCATATCAGTTTATTCCTCTAGTATGTACATGATCCTCTTTTCTCTTTATCTCGCAGACTCACCTTTGACCTTCTCCAAGCGTTGCTGTTGTAAAAAGATCAAAGTGATTTTCAGGGATCGCCAACTTGGCTATACTATCGCAAATATGGCAACCCAGCTTTTCACTCGAGGTTTTTTTAGGATGGAAAGATGAAGTCGAGCTCAGTTTTTATTTAACCGGGCATCTAATTCCAGTGGCCATCCGCCAACCCGTCCTCATCCCATCCGCACTTTAAATACCCAGGTTTTCGGGTAAATTACTAAAATGCAGAGAAGATCAACGCGCAACAAACCCTAGCCCTAACCTACCCATCTGTGTCAGCCTCACCCCGCAGCCGCAGAAAAAGAGCATTCAGGTACCTAAATCCTACTATCGTCAGCTACCTCCTTTGCACTGAACATGTCTTCTTCCAAAACCTCCGCAGATTCTAAAACCACCACCACCTCTCCGGCCACCCCCCCCAAGAAGGATGCTCTCGACACCCCGCCCCCCTACCTTAACCCCGTAACCCCCGGTATCTCCCTGTTACCCTTGCTCATACTTTATAGAACTGACTCGAGAGGCCTAGCCATCTGCTCTAGTGGCCTTATAGACTTCTCGCACCTCTCCACACTGACGGCCGAGCAGCTGGTTAAATTCGACGAGGAGCTCGTACCGTTGTGCCGCCGGTGGATGGCGCGGTCGGGCAATGGAATGCCGATGCAGGAGTTCCGTGACTGGCTCCGCGGTTATGGCTTCTTTGTGTCTATGGATAGGAGAAAGTACAGGCAAAGGGCAGCAGAGGAGGGGGTTGAGCTGGGTGTGAGGCTGGCGGCCATGGTAGCTTTCAGTGTGTCATCTATCCAGGGGGACGGTGTATCCCGAACGACAGCTTTTTGGTCCACGGTGAGAGAGCTGGTGGAGGTAAGGGGGTTATCGGGTAAGATTTGAGGGGGAGGGGTGAGATTTTGTGGCTTCCGATAAGTGGTGGAGTCGAGGAGGAATTGTGATTTGGGTTTTACGGGGGCGCGGGGAGAGAGCTCCTGGCTTCCAAGTAATGTAGCCCACTGAGGGGATATGAGAAGAGGGGTTTGAACCGCGCAAGTGAAATCGAATAATAACTATAATTATAAATATCTAAGGGACTAGTCCTATCTCATGTAGCCCGAATATGGGATAATAGCCGCAATGAAATAAGATAGCGTAGCGACTTGGCTTCAGGGTTGGTTGAGTGTGTCCCACATGTAATTTTATTTTTTCCGTTCTCATCCAGGATTATACGCTCGTTGTGATTAGTTATTGAAATGGTATCCATTCGCGGGGAAGCCTGTGATAAAACTCGTTCTCGATCTGAAAGCGAGCCTAACTGTTGAGAAGCCATGTTCAACTGTGTATGTCCCCTAACCCTATAAGCGACGGGGTAGGTGGTATATCTTTAGAAGCTATTTGCACACATAAAACACGTCATCCAGAGGTGGCCCCGTTGCTTACGATTAGTACGCTATCTGGAATGGAAGCTTGAGTGTACTGCTGGTAATATGTTCCAGCTGCTACTAACGAGCGCCCCAGACCCAATTAGGTATTCCATAATCGTTCATCAACATGTGTAATTGGCCTCTAGAAGAGAGTGAGTATTAGGGGGTGCATCATCAAGTATCACCCGACCCCCTCTCCACGCTTTCTGTTGGATATTTGGCTTTTCAAATGATGTCGAACGGGGGCGGGTGATGTGTCATGACGTGACCTGTCCTTGTAATGTTGAAGACAGCTGTCCAACGTGTCCGATCCGTGACTATATAGCTAGTTAGTTTCTTTGTCGAGACTACAATCAAGTCACTTAACTGTCTCGCACTCGTCCTGTCTTGTCCTTATTCTGTATCGTCCTCGTTCAACGTTTTCAACACTTTCGCCACTCACAGAGCCGAGTATTGCTTGTCTCGAAAGATTTTGTTTAGCGCAGCAACATCCGTACCTCCCCTCCATAGGCTGATGGTGTAGTAGATGTCGGAATGTCAATGTATAGCGCAGCCACACCGACCTACATATCCCAAGTGGCACCACCCGAAATACGCGGTATGATGCTAGCGCCGTTCAACTTTGTCATGCTTATTGGGCAGTGGGTTTGCCAGATTTCTGTACAGTGCCAGGCCAACCTGAGTAGATTCGTATTGGCATGTATCTTACAGGGTACACAACACCTGTCGGGAAACCTATCATTTCTTGTACCGATAATAACGCAATATATCGTGCCTGGAATCTTATTTACATGTACCTGGTTCCTTCCTGAATCACCGTCATGGCTTGTTGGGCGTGGTAAAACCGAGGCCGCCAGGGCGTCTCTTGGCTGGCTCTACGGCGCAACATGTGACGTCGATAAACGGCTGCTTGACCTTCAGGATACTCCGAATAAAGAGAAGGCCTGTCCCCGGATGAGATATTTCGCTTGCTTCAAGTGCTCTAACCTGGTTTGTCACGCAAGACCCCATCTCTTTGAGGCAATCCATCTAATCGGCGTCAAAGAGGCGCACGATAATATCAGTTGGAACTTTATTCTCACACCAACTCGTTGGCGTGCCGTTCATTCTTAGCAATGTACGTTAAAAAGAACCAGTCACCCAAAGCCCATACCAAGCACAAGTTACTAATTCATGAGGGGCGGGAGCTAGACCACGTATTTCTTTATTCTTGCCGGAATCAAGCAGTCACAGGCATTTAATGTTTGCCCTGCAAGAACTGCCAAATGTGCTCTCATGGTACTTGGTTGAAAGACTGGGCCGTCGTGTCATGCTCCTAACTGAGGTATCTGTCATTGTCGTGTCACATTACATTGTCGGGGGAATTGGAACGGACAGCAGGTACACCTCCGGAGCAATTCCCAAGGTCGTTATTACATTCATGGTCATACTCTCAATCTCTTTATAGCTGTTAGTTGGCTCAGCGTGAGAGTCCCCCAACCCCGACCCACCCCAACACCTTCGGCTGATGACAGAGTACGGTTGATTAGAGGGTGGGCTGTTACGGGCGAAGTCAGCTTTCTTGAGCTACGAGCTTCAACCCAATCGATCTCTGTTGGTTTCAGTTGTTGCTTCGGTGGTGCTCTTACAATTGCTGTGCCGTATATTATTGTTAGTCATTTACAGGATCTTTCTCCCCCACCCCCCCACCCCCCCTCTCCCCCCAACTGCCCGAAGCTAATTTGAAACGAATCCTGATCAAGGGAGCCTTGGTCCGAAAATTGGCTTTATCTTTGGCTCCCTTAGTTTTCTTTCCCCCCATCTATGCCTCTCCTGCACCTTCACCTCCATCTCCACTTTGAAACTACCTCCAGTTCACCACCGCCTGTACTTACCGTTACCTCCGTCTCCACCTCAGTGTATAGTTTGCCTCCAAGTCCACCTCCGTATAAAACTCAACCTCCGCCTTGCGCCAGCATGCACCACTTCCATTGATTTCTCGTGCCTTTTCTTCCTCCGAGCAAAGCTCCACCTTGTACTCTCCTCTACCTCCACCTACACAACCAAGTCTAACTTGATACCGTCACAAGCTAGGATAAACGAGTGCGTCATGATGCATCACTCACTGGATAAGCTACCACCTCGCCGCCGTCTCTCCACCTTGAGCTCTAAGTTACATGCACCTAGCTGCTAGCTACCTGAATCTGGATACTGAGCGAATCGCCTCCAACAGACTTCCAACTGCACAATTGAACGTCGCGCACATATGACCAGGCTACACAGAGCCGTGCCAGCGCCACATCCCCGCCTGCAACTGTGCGAGACACCGCCAAGAAAACCATACCCCCTCCGCATGCAGCACTCCTTCCAATATCTTCCTCCTACACATCACCTCCCACCTCCGCATCCCCGCCAACTTGCACCCCCCCCCACAAGGCCTTGCCCACATCTCCTGCGCCTATTGTATAGACCGACAACGTTGTCCGACTCCGACTCAGCCTAAGACTAAGACAGTAACAGTAACAGTTAGCAATACACAACGGGGCAACACCGTGTTACACGTCAAGTGATTGACGATTGCGCGACGACAAACCTCACCAACCCCCCCCCCCCCCCCCCAAACAATCAAAGCTCCGAGCATCAGCCGCAGAGCTTCCTCTAACCAGATATAGATATACCCTGCCTCCAACGAAAATGTCCTCCCCACCAACCCCTTGTCTGCTATTGTCACTACCTCCTGACATCATTCACCTCATCTGCGACCAACTCACCGTCCCCCACCTGGGCATTGTTCGCCCGCACGTGCCACACCATGCACGCCCTCATCGCCCCCAAGCTCCATCTATGGTGCGCGTGCAACTTGTACGAGCTCTTCATGCGGGGGATAGACGGTGATATGCCCCGCTCGCTCGAGCACGCCCTTAACATCCGCGCTGCCCACCCAGGAGACTGGAGTGAGGCGAAGGTCATGTTACTCGAGAAGGCGATCGGCAGGCATTCGCCCGAGGCGGTCCGTATTCTTTTGGCGCATGGCGCAGACCCCAACAGAGCGCTGATGGAGGGCGTGTCGGTGAAAACGCTGCTTGCGGTGGTGGTCAGGATGTGTGATGATGCGGTTGCTATGGTTCCACCTTCCGCGGGTGCGGACGCTAGCTACGAGCCTGGGTTGTCTGCCGGTGGGGCAGGAGGTGCGCAGGCGGGAGGTATGCGGGCAGATGCGGAGTTGTGTGCGGAGGTGGTGGAGCTTTTAGTGAAGTATGGGGCGGAGATGACTCACCCGGGTTCGGGATCTGGCGAATCTTGTAGCGGGTAAGATGATGAGATGAGTCCGATTCTCCTACGGCAGAAGGTGGTCCGAATCAGCAGCTCTAAATAAATCATGGGATATTATTTTTTAACTCTGTGCCCATGTACCACTGTTGATTGTAGCCGTCATCTCTCTGTTGGCGCCCCTGATCTAATTCCGATTCCGACTCGGATTCAGCAATTAGAGGTCCGCCTAACGGCCGCCGCGAGAACCACCGCCCAGACCTCCAATAAGCCCTGTGTCATGGGCTTGCCCGTGCTACCAATGGCCACCAATAAGAGTGTGCTCGCAACTAGCGGTTGTGATATTGGGCTTATTTGACGGCGAGCTCATGTCTCTGTAGGCCTGTATTCACACTGATTTGACTTTGTTACATATATACCGCCAGAACAGTGCCTTTTATAAGTCTCGTTTTGAGTTTAAATAACCCTGATGTTGGGCTTATTTGACGGTGAACACATTTTACGTTCTGAGTTCCTTGTAAACATATGTTTAGTTTAAGAATCATTGCTATTCAGGCGGATGATAATTGACAAGTATTTTTATATAACAACTAGGTTCACGGTCGCGATTTTGGGAGCGTGCGGGTACGGGTGTGGGTGGTTCCATGTGACTTGCTGGGAAAAGTGGCGAGGATGCTAGAAATTTCTTAGTGGTGTGGGTATTTAAGAAGGGCACCTCGCCAACTTTTTTTCAAGATTACAGACTTTGCATTGAGAGGTCCGGAGTCTTTCTTAGTGTAGGTGTGGCAGTGTTGCCAAGTTTTTTTTGGTCCGGCACTTGGTTTGAGTCCGGCGTGAGGAGCTATCAACGAGATTTGACCTCCACCATTACGATTGCCTATAGAATCACCAACTCTCATCCAATTGCGATATTTTTGAGTGTCCTGGAATGCGATTCTCTTACTCTACCATTCTCCATAATCAGATATGCCTGAACCTGAAGACCTCTATCTCTAATTCATTATTGGAGTAGTGGAATTGAAAGTATTGGCCAGTGCATCCGTACAGGACAATACAAGATTGAGAGGGCGGCAGCAGTAAGGGGGAGTTATTCACCTTAACACTTTAGAGGGTGAAGCTTAGAAGACCTACTAAAGATTCTCCCGGGATGAGGTATATCGGCTGACTAAGTGCCTGCGAATACCTCAAAGAGTACAGAGTAATAACCTGATTTTTAAAGACAAAATCAGAGCTCTGTGCATCCTATTAGTATTGCTAGCTTTGCCTAATCGATGAACTGATCTACATCTCAAGTTTGAATGGAAGCCAGAGAAGGTCTCTCGTATTGTGAATATACTGTTATAGTTTATTCACGACACTTGGAGACACTTCCTTGTTTTTGGTTAACAACACCTCTTAAGGGGACGAGTAGCGAGTATTCCGCATGGTACGAAGGGGGTAGTAGAGGTCAGTATGGGAGCTCGTAATAGGGGTCTTGAGAGATTCTAGCGTTGGTGCCGGTCAATGGGACAAAGGAAGCAGCGGCACGGTGTTCTTCTTGAGTAAAGAAGAGAAAGTAATATTGTATAGTAACAGACAGCGTAGGTAGAGAAGACGTTGCGTAAAGAAGGAAAGAAGAGAAAAAGAACAAGAAACAAGGGCGAACCCTCCTAATATACCCAAGGAAATTCCCGTGATGACAAATCCAAAGTGACTCATACGCTTACGATCAACAGAATCAGATAGAACCCAACAGAATCTTTCTGACTAATCCAACTCCTCGTAACCCAGTGTATTCACTAATCGATCCATGAAAGTAGCCCCTCCCTTCAAGCGCGAGCTCCTGCGAGCCTTAACCTTAACCTTTCCTTCCAACGGTCCAGGTTTATCGGGGTAACATATATGGAAAATATCAACGGCGGCGGTATTATCGTGGTATGCGGCGGGTTCCCAGGTAGGGTCGGTATAGCCTGTCCATTTGACAAAATATTGCAGGCCGTTGTTTCTTGTTTCCCGCGAGTCCAAGATTTCCTCAACTGCATACTCCTCTTCCTGCTCAATGATAATAGGCGGGGGTGGTGGTTGAATTTGCCCCGGGACAGGATCATTTGCAGCGGAGTGTAGCAACGATACATGGAAGACGGGGTGCATTTTCATACTCCTAGGCAGGTCGACTCGGTACGCATGTGGCGAGATGATTTCTTTGACGGGGAACGGTCCCAGTTTCTTCCAGTCCAACTTCCGAGAGTTACGGGTGGTTCGGATGTTTTTTGCTGAAACAAACACCATATCGCCGATAACGTACCGCGGAGCCGGCGTTCATTTGGTATTAATGGCCTGCTCTTGTTGGTCTTGCGCTGTACGGATGTTGGAACGGAGGTGTGGGTGAAGTTCTTTCATCTTCGAGGCGAAGTCTTTAGCATTGAGACTCGGTGGGGTCCCATCAAGCGGTTTAATCGTCACTGTGAACCGGGGTTGGAAATCATAGTTCGCGAAGAATGGTGTAGCTTTGGTGGATGCGGAGACCTGATTGTTGGCGGAGAATTCTGCCATAGGGAGCCATTTTACCCAATCGTCCTGTTGGTAAGAGACATATCCTCGTAGGTATTGTTCCATTACAGCGTTCAACCTTTCAGTTTGGCCGTCGGTCTCCAGGTGAAAGGCGGTGGACATTCTTGCTTCGATGTCGAGGTGTTTACAAAGAGCCCTCCAGAATTTGGCTGTAAATTGCGTGCTGCGGTCGGAGGTGACATGTGTGGGTAGCCCATGGAGCTTCCATATATTTCGCAGATATACTTGGGCGACGTCTTCAGAGTTGATGGTGGTATTACAGGGAAGGAGATGTCGCATATCTGTTAACCGGTCAATAACTACCATAATCGCGTCGTACCCTTCGCTCTCCGGTAGGCCAGTAACGAAGTCCATTGATACCTCCCGCCATGGTTGTTCGGGAATCGGTAAAGGTCGAAATACGCCGACTTTTCCATGGGTATTGGGTTTGCTTCGTTGACAGGTGTGGCAGTTCCGAACGTAGCGGGCAATATAATTCCGCATAAGGGGCCAGTAGTAGTCTCGACTGATGAGTTCGAATGTTTTTTCGCGTCCAGGGTATCCGGCGGAGGCAGCGTCATGGTAAAGTTGGAGGATTTGGAGCTTGAGAGGGTCGTAGTCGGGTACATATATACTATCTCGGTAAAGCAACCGGCCTTCAACCTCGGTGCATTCGGCGAGTGATATGTCCTTTGATTGTCGTTCGCCTTTATTCCGCATATCCAGTATCTTTTGCGGAAACGGGTCAGCGCAATATCCTTCATAGAATAGTCTATACAGTGAGGCGTTCTTTTCAGCGGGCTGATTTGAGAAAGAACCCGCCAACAAACTTAGCTTTGCGTCAAGATTCTCTTTCTTTAATACAACTTGACTCTGATATAATTGTCTTTCATCCCCCTCTCCAGGGAGATCTCCTGATCTTCTTGTCAACGTGTCCGGTTTCCCTCCTTGTTTCCCTGGTCGGTACTTAATGACAAAATTAAACCGTGACAGGTATTCCGCCCACCGTGCTTGTCTCCGGTTGAGTTGCTTAGTACTTATAAAGTATTCGAGATTCTTATGATCGGATATGATGGCGATTGGGTGTGCAGCCCCTTCAAGTTCCAGTCGCCATTCCTCAAAGGATCGAATAATCGCCAGTAATTCCTTGTCGTAAATCTCGTAGTTGCGTTCAGCGCGGGAGTGCTTTTTTGAGAAGTATGTGACGGGTCGAAGGGTACCATTATCATCGTATTGGGAGAGTATACCAGCAGAGACATAGTCAGATGCATCGGTTTCCACAGTAATTTTTTCTCCGGGTCGAAATAGGTAAGGATAGGAGCGGTTGGGAAGGCTTCTTTCAGGTCGTTGAAGGCAGTTTGGGCTTCGGGTGTCCATTCGAATGGTATATCCTTACGTGTCAGTCTGGTAAGGGGAGAAGCCAGTTCCGAGAATCCGCGTATGGATCGGCGGTAAAAGTTAGGGAAACCTAGAAATGCTTGCACATCCTTAACTGTTTTGGGGACGGTCCAATTCTTCACTGTCTCCACTTTCCTTGGGTCCATTTTAATACCATTAGGTTCGATAATGAGGCCGAGATAGGTGGTGCTTTGTGTATGAAATTCACATTTCTCTGGTTTCAGCAGTACTCCATTTCTTTGTAGGGCTTCCAGGACCTTTTCGACGTGTACTTGATGTTCCTCGAAGGTGTCGCTGTAAATGAGAATATCGTCAAGGTAGGCTGTACAGAACATATCAAGGTAGTCGCGGACGCAATCATTGATAAAGTGTTGTAAGGTGGCCGGCGCATTGGTAAGGCCAAAGGGCATCACCGTATATTCGAAATGTCCGTAACGAGTAAGGAAGGCTGTTTTCCATTCTTCACCCTCTCTCAAGGGGGCGAGTAGCGAGTATTCCGGAAGGTACGAAGGGTGTAATAGGGCCGGTGTAAGAACTCGCAATAGGCGTCCTAAGGGGCTCTGGTGTTAGTAAGGGCCAACGGAACAAGGGGAAGCGAGGCGGTGGTCTTCTTGAGTAAAAAGAAGAGAAAGATAATATTGTATAGTAATGGACAGCGTAGATACAGAAGACGTTGCGTAAGGAAAGAAAGAAAGAGAAAAGAATGAGAAATAAGAACGAACCCCCCTAATATACCCAAAGAAATCCCAGCGATGACAAATCCCAAGTGACTCATACATTAACGATCAACATAACCCGATAGAACCCAATAGAACCTTTCTGACTAATCCAACTCCTCGTAACCCAGTACGTTCCCTAATCGATCCATGAAACCCTCAGCCATTCGGATCTGATTATATCCTTGGCGAAGGTCAAGTTTGGTGTACCACTTGACTTTGGAAAGGCGGTCGAGAGTTTCCCGGATGAGCGGCAGCGGGTAGCGGTTTTTGACAGTGAGTTCGTTGAGGCCACGATAATCGACACAGAGGCGAAGTGTTCCATCGATCTTTTTAACAAATAGGACAGGGGCACCGGTAGGTGAAGAGCTGGCCTGAATGAAGCCTTTTTGGAGGTTGTCCTGTATGTATTGCTTAAGCACAACGAGTTCCTCACGGGACATACCATAAAGTGGCCCAAAAGGGGGCTCTTTCCCTTCCTTAAGCGGTATCTTATGGTCATAGGGGCGGCGAGGTGGCATCTCGTTAGCGAACTTTTCATCCATCATCTCGTGAAACCTCTTATACCGGGTTGGGACTCGGTTCCTCCAGTTTTCCTTAGGGGCCTCGCCCATGGTTTGATCTATTTCCTCAATAGTTGTGCTAAAGATTTGGAGCTTGTCCCTTCGAGCAAAGCGACAGAGGGCAGCTGAACTGACGAGGTGGAAACGGGGCGGTGGTGCAACCACTCTAATGGGAACGGGTGTTGCAGAAGAGTTGCACTTGCGTTTGCAGTATTCGGAGTCGAACAGTATACTATTGTCTTTAAACCGTAATGTGACGTCGTGCAGTTGAAGCCAGGGGATTCCGAGTACGAGTGGATACGAGCCGAGTTTGGTGACGAAGAAGGGGATAGTTTCATGGTGGGAGTCGATTGATAGCGGTAGGTAGCAGAGTTGGGTTATTTGTCCGGAAGATATGGGCCGTCCGTCGATGACTTCCAGAGTGCGGGGTGATTGAAGGGGGAGAAATAGGAGGTTGTTATGGCGCGCGAATGTTTCATCAATGAATGTGGATCCGGAGCAACCGGTATCAATCAATGCGTGGGTTTGAATGGATATTTTATTGTTTACAATTTTACAAGAAGCAACAAAATGATCCCCATCCAATTTATCCTCCACAGACGATACCGAGAAGCCAGAGATAGAAAACGCAGACAAAGGAGAAACATTGGAAGGTCTCGGGCAGGGGCCATTGATCAAGCCCGGGACTACTGAAAACCCGACTCGGAGGAGGCGGGACTAGCGATCGGTGGGACAGCGGGGTCGGCGGCAGTAAGAACGGGTGCGAGGAGGGCGCCCCTCATAACCGGTTGATTACCGTGCGGGCGATTGGCAGAGGGGCAGTTGGCGAAGACATGGCCAGGGTTGGCGCAGTACATACAGAGATTGTTGTCCCTTCGCCATTGTTTTTCGGCGGCAGAGGTTTTGCGCTGTCCATTGACAAAGGTGTATCATTGTTCGGCGGCAGGGCGTTGAGTGGGACGGGCTTGGAGGGCGGAGAGGTCCATTGGGGTGAGGCCTCCGGCGGTATGAGATGGGTGTGCGACAGCGGCGGGGGCGGTAAATTGTCCCATCGTATTCCGAATAGCCCATTGTTCAGCTTTACGGCCCCGAACCTAGTTGTCAATTGTCATCAACATGGTGGCATATGCCTCAATGGTATTAGGCCTATCTGTCCGGTATGTTATTGCGTCCTTCAGGTCTTCCGACAGTCCTTCGGTCAGGGCATCGATCTTGGCTCCTTCGTTGTAGTATAGGTAGGCAACAATACGGAGGAACTGTGAGTAATAGGTGGCAAAGTCCCCTTTGCCTTGCTTCAGGGCAACGAGTTGACGACGGGCGGTACCCCGGGAATCTGGGTCTCCAAACGAGGCTTCCAGGTGGGCAACAAAGGCAGTGACGGAGGAGAAGGGGGCAGCAGGGTTAGCGTTAACGAGTGGAACGACCTGGTCAAGGGCCCTTCCTTCCAAGCGACTGATGGCATAGATAACTTTTGCTGCCTCATTTCGGAACCGATCGTGGTTGACCTCAAGTTTCATTCGAAGTTGGGTGGTGAATCCGAGCAGCTTGGTACGGGTACCATCGAATTTTTCGGGGTCTGGGAACTTTTCGGACCTGAAGGCGGGGGCGGTAGCAGGTGGGGGGGCAGCGGCAACGAGAACAGCGACGGTAGGGGCGGAGGCGGCATGGGCGACATTGAGGTCGAGGTTAAGCCGGATTACCTGCTCCTCGAGGTTGTCAATGGTTTCATTGGCGGCGGCGAATTGTGTACTAAGGGTATCCCTCTGGAGGCGGATGCGCTGGACAAGGACGGCGATATTCTTAAATAATTCGGCAGCGTCGACCTCATACTGTCGCTTGAATTCTTCTACATCGTTGGGTGGGGCCCATGTAGGTGGGTTGGGGGTGGACATGTCGTACGGTGCGGATGACGACGCAACGTAATCTCAAGGGGGCGAGTAGCGAATACTCCGCAGGGTACGAAGGGCGTAGTAGGGGTCGGTGTGGGAACTCGCAATAGGGGTCCTAAGGGACTCTAGCGTCGGTAAGGGTCAACGGGGCAAGGGGCGGCGAAGCGGTAGTCCTCTCGAGTAAAGAAGAGGAGGATGATATTGTAGAGTAATAAACAGCGTAGATACAGAAGACGTTGCGTAAAGAAAGAAAGAAAGAGAAAAAGAACAAGAAATACAAATAAACCCCCCTAATATACCCAAGGAAATCCCAGCGATGACAAATCCAACGTGACTCATACATTAACGATCAACAGAACCCGGTAGAACCCAATAGAACCTTTCTGACTAATCCAACTCTTGGTAACCCAATGTATTCACTAATCGATCCTTGAAACGATTTGATCGTCACTGTAAACCGGGGATGGAAACCATAGTTCTCGAAGAATGGTGTAGCTTTGGTGAATGCAGAGACCTGATTGTTGGCGGAGAATTCTGCCATAGGGTGCCATTTTACCCAATCATCCTGTTGATAAGAGACATATCTACGTAGATATTGTTCCATTACTGCGTTCAGCCTTTCAGTTTGGCCGTCGGTCTCCGGGTGGAAGGCGGTGGACATTCTTGCTTCGATGTCGAGGTGTTTACAGAGAGCCTTCCAAAACTTGGCTGTGAATTGCGTACCGCGGTGGGAGGTGACATGTGTGGGTAGCCCATGGAGCTTCCATATATTTCGCAGGTATAGTTGGGCGACGTCTTCGGAGTTGACGGTAGTATTACAGGGCAGGAGATGTCGTATCTTTGTTAACCGTTCAACAACTACCATAATCGCGTTGTACCCTTCGCTCTCCGGTAGGCCAGTAACGAATTCCATTGATACCTCCTGCCATGGTTGTTCGGGAATCGGAAACGTTCGAAGTACACCGAGTTTTCCATGGGTGTTGGGTTTGCTTCGTTGACAGGTATGGCAGTTGCGAACTTAGCGCGCAATATAATTCCGCATAAAAGGCCAGTAGTAGTCTCGACTGATGAGTTCGAATGTTTTTTTGCGTCCAGGGTGTCCGGCGGAGGCAGCGTCATGGTAAAGTTGGAGGATTCGGAGCTTGAGAGGGTCGTAGTCGGGTACATATATGCTGCTTCGGTAAAGCAACCGGCCTTCAACCTCAGTGCATTCGGCGAGTGATATGTCCTTTGATTGTCGTTCACCTTTGTTCCGCATATCCAGTATCTTTTGTGGAAATGGGTCAGCACTAAATCCTTCATCGAATAGTCTATTCAGTGAGGCGTTCTTTTAAGCGGGCTCATTTGGGAAAGAACCCGCCAACAAACTTAGCTTTACGTCAAGAATCTCCTTCTTCAATACCACTTGACTCTGGTGTAAGTGCCTTTCATCCCCCTCTCCAGGGAGATCTCCTGATCTTCTTGTCAACGTGTCCGGTTTCCCTCCTTGTTTCCCTGGTCGGTACTTAATGACAAAATTAAACCGTGACAGGTATTCCGCCCACCGTGCTTGTCTCCGGTTGAGTTGCTTAGTACTTATAAAGTATTCGAGATTCTTATGATCGGATATGATGGCGATTGGGTGTGCAGCCCCTTCAAGTTCCAGTCGCCATTCCTCAAAGGATCGAATAATCGCCAGTAATTCCTTGTCGTAAATCTCGTAGTTGCGTTCAGCGCGGGAGTGCTTTTTTGAGAAGTATGTGACGGGTCGAAGGGTACCATTATCATCGTATTGGGAGAGTATACCAGCAGAGACATAGTCAGATGCATCGGTTTCTACAGTAATTTTTTCTCCGGGTCGAAATAGGTAAGGATAGGAGCGGTTGGGAAGGCTTCTTTCAGGTCGTTGAAGGCAGTTTGGGCTTCGGGTGTCCATTCGAATGGTATATCCTTACGTGTCAGTCTGGTAAGGGGAGAAGCCAGTTCCGAGAATCCGCGTATGGATCGGCGGTAAAAGTTAGGGAAACCTAGAAATGCTTGCACATCCTTAACTGTTTTGGGGACGGTCCAATTCTTCACTGTCTCCACTTTCCTTGGGTCCATTTTAATACCATTAGGTTCGATAATGAGGCCGAGATAGGTGGTGCTTTGTGTATGAAATTCACATTTCTCTGGTTTCAGCAGTACTCCATTTCTTTGTAGGGCTTCCAGGACCTTTTCGACGTGTACTTGATGTTCCTCGAAGGTGTCGCTGTAAATGAGAATATCGTCAAGGTAGGCTGTACAGAACATATCAAGGTAGTCGCGGACGCAATCATTGATAAAGTGTTGTAAGGTGGCCGGCGCATTGGTAAGGCCAAAGGGCATCACCGTATATTCGAAATGTCCGTAACGAGTACGGAAGGCTGTTTTCCATTCTTCACCCTCTCTCAAGGGGGCGAGTAGCGAGTATTCTGGAAGGTACGAAGGGTGTAATAGGGCCGGTGTAAGAACTCGCAATAGGGGTCCTAAGGGGCTCTGGTATTAGTAAGGGCCAACGGAACAAGGGGAAGCGAGGCGGTGGTCTTCTTGAGTAAAAAGAAGAGAAAGATAATATTGTATAGTAATAGACAGCGTAGATACAGAAGACGTTGCGTAAGGAAAGAAAGAAAGAGAAAAGAATGAGAAATAAGAACGAACCCTCCTAATATACCCAAAGAAATCCCAGCGATGACAAATCCCAAGTGACTCATACATTAACGATCAACAGAACCCGATAGAACCCAATAGAACCTTTCTGACTAATCCAACTCCTCGTAACCCAGTACGTTCCCTAATCGATCCATGAAAGTAGCCCCTCCCTTCAAGCGCGAGCTCCTGCGAGCCTTAACCTTAATCTTTCCTTCCAACGGCCCAGGTTTGCCGGGGTAACGTGTATGAAAGGTATCAACGGCGGCGGTATTATCGTGGTATGCGGCGGGTTCCCAGGTAGGGTCGGTATAGCCTGTCCATTTGACAAAATATTGCAAGCCGTTGTTTCTTGTTTCCCGCGAGTCCAAGATTTCCTCAACTGTATACTCCTCTTCCTGCTCAACGGTAATAGGCGGGGGTGGTGGTTGGATTTGCCCCGGGACAGGATCATTTGCGGCGGGGTCTAGCAACGATACATGGAAGACGGGGTGCATTTTCATACTCCTAGGCAGGTCGACTCGGTACGCATATGGCGAGATGATTTCTTTGACGGGGAACGGTCCCAGTTTCTTCCAGTCCAACTTCCGGGGGTTACGGGTGGTTCGGATGTTTTTTGCTGAAACAAACACCATATCGCCGATATCGTACCGCGGGGCCAGCGTTCGTTTAGTATTAACGGCCTGCTCTTGTTGATCTTGTGCCGTGCAGATATTGGAACGTAGGTGTTCATAGAGTTCTTTCATCTTCGAGGCGAAGTCCTTAGCATTGAGGCTTGGCGGGGTCCTGTCAAGCGATTTGATCGTCACTGTGAACCGGGGTTGAAAACCATAGTTCGCGAAGAATGGTGTAGCTTTGATGGATGCGGAGACCTGATTGTTGGCGGAGAATTCTGCCATAGGGAGCCATTGTACCCAATCGTCCTGTTGGTAAGAGACATATCCTCGTAGGTATTGTTCCATTACAGCGTTCAACCTTTCAGTTTGGCCGTCGGTCTCCAGGTGAAAGGCGGTGGACATTCTTGCTTCGATGTCGAGGTGTTTACAAAGAGCCCTCCAGAACTTGGCTGTAAATTGCGTGCTGCGGTCGGAGGTGACATGTGTGGGTAGCCCATGGAGCTTCCATATATTTCGCAGATATAGTTGGGCGACGTCTTCAGAGTTGATGGTGGTATTACAGGGAAGGAGATGTCGCATCTTTGTTAACCGGTCAATAACTACCATAATCGCGTCGTACCCTTCGCTCTCCGGTAGGCCAGTAACGAAGTCCATTGATACCTCCCGCCATGGTTGTTCGGGAATCGGTAAAGGTCGAAATACTCCGACTTTTCCATGGGTATTGGGTTTGCTTCGTTGACAGGTGTGGCAGTTCCGAACGTAGCGGGCAATATAATTCCGCATAAGGGGCCAGTGGTAGTCTCGACTGATGAGTTCGAATGTTTTTTCGCGTTCAGGGTGTCCGGCGGAGGCAGCGTCATGGTAAAGTTGGAGGATCCGGAGCTTGAGAGGGTCGTAGTCGGGTACATATATACTATCTCGGTAAAGCAACCGGCCTTCAACCTCGGTGCATTCGGCGAGTGATATGTCCTTTGATTGTCGTTCACCTTTGTTCCGCATATCCAGTATCTTTTGTGGAAACGGGTCAGCGCTATATCCTTCATCGAGTAGTCTATTCAGTGAGGCGTTCTTTTCAGCGGGCTCATTTGAGAAAGAACCCACCAACAAACTTAGCTTTGCGTCAAGATTCTCTTTCTTCAATACAACTTGACTCTGGTGTAGTTGCCTTTCATCCCCCTCTCCATGGAGATCTCCTGATCTTCTTGTCAACGCGTCCGGTTTCCCTCCTTGTTTCCCTGATCGGTACTTAATGACAAAATTAAACCGTGATAGGTACTCCGCCCACCGTGCTTGTCTCCGATTGAGTTGCTTTGTGCTCATAAAGTATTCGAGATTCTTATGACCGGATATAACGGCGATTGGGTGCGCGGCCCCTTCAAGTTCCGGTCGCCATTCCTCGAAGGATCGAATAATCGCCAGTAATTCCTTATCGTAAATCTCGTAGTTGCATTCGGCGGGGGAGTGCTTTTTTGAGAAGTATGCGACGGGTCGAAGGGTACCATTATCATCATACTGGGAGAGTACACCGGCAGAGACGTAGTCAGATGCATCGGTTTCCACAGTAATTTCTTTCTCCGGGTCGAAATGGGTAAGGATAGGAGCCGTTGTGAAGGCTTCTTTCAGGGCGTTGAATGCAGTTTGGGCTTCAGGTGTCCATTCGAATGGTATATCCTTACGTGTCAGTCTGGTAAGGGGGGAAGCCAGTTCCGAGAATCCACGTATAAATCGACGGTAAAAGTTAGCGAAACCTAGAAACGCTTGCACTTCCTTAACTGTTTTGGGGACGGTCCAATTCTTTACTGTCTCCACTTTTCTTGGATCCATTTTAATGCCACTGGGTTCGATAATGAGGCCGAGGTAGGTGGTGCTTTGTGTATGAAATTCGCATTTCTCTGGTTTCAGCAGTACTCCATTTCTTTGTAGGGCTTCCAGGACCTTTTCGACATGTACTTGAGGTTCCTCGAAGGTGTCGCTATAGATAAGAATATCATCAAGGTAGGCTGTACAGAACATATCAAGGTAGTCACGGACGCAATCGTTAATGAAGTGTTGGAAAGTGGCCGGTGCATTGGTAAGGCCGAAGGGGATCACCGTATATTCAAAATGCCCGTAACGCGTACGGAAGGCTGTTTTCCATTCTTCACCCTCGGCCATTCGGATTTGGTTATACCCTTGGCGAAGGTCCAGTTTGGTGTACCATTTGGCTTTGGAGAGGCGGTCGAGAGTTTCCCGGATAAGCGGCAGCGGGTAGCGGTTTTTGACGGTGAGTTCGTTGAGGCTACGGTAATCGACACAGAGACGGAGTGTTCCATCAGCCTTTTTAACAAATAGGACAGGAGCACCGGCGGGGGAAGAGCTGGCCTGAATAAAGCCCTTTTTAAGGTTGTCCTGTATGTATTGCTTAAGTACGATAAGTTCTTCACGGGACATACCATAAAGTGGCCCAAACAGGGGCTCTTTTCCTTCCTTAAGCGGTATCTTATGATCATAGGGGCGGCGAGGCGGCATTTCGTTAGCGAACTTCTCGTCCATCATCTCGTGGAACTTCTTATACTGGGTTGGGACGCGGTTCCTCCAATCTCCCTTAGGGGCCTCGCCCATAGCTTGGTCGATTTCCTCGATAGTTATCCTGAAGATCTGGAGCTTGTCCTTCCGGGCAAAGCGGCAGAGGGCGGCTGAACTGACGAGCTGGAAACGAGATGGTGGTGCAATCCCTCTAACAGGAACGGGTATCGTGGAGGAGTTACACTTGCGTTTGCAGTATTCGGAGTCGAACAGTATACTATTGTCCTTAAACCGTAATGTGGCGTCGTGTAATTGAAGCCAGGGGATTCGGAGTACGAGTGGGTACGAGCCGAGTTTAGTAACGAAGAAGGGGATAGTTTCATGGTGGGAGTCAATTGACAGCGGTAGGTAGCAGAGGTGGGTAATCTGTCCGGAAGATATGGGCCGTCCGTCGATGACTTCAAGAGTGCGGGGTGATTTAAGGGGGAGAAATGGGAGGTTGTGATGGCGCGCGAATGTTTCATCAATGAATGCGAATCCGGAGCAACCGGTATCAATCAATGCGTGGGTTTGAATGGATATTTTATTGGTTACAATTTTACAAGAAGCAACAAAATGATCCCCATCCAATTTATCCTCCACAGACGATACCGAGAAGCCAGAGATAGAAAACGCAGACAAAGGAGAAACATTGGAAGGTCTCGGGCAGGGGGCATTGATCAAGCCCGGGACTACTGAAAACCCGACTCGGAGGAGGCGGGACTAGCGACCGGTGGGACAGCGGGGTCGGCGGCAGTATGACCAGGTGCGAGGAGAGCGCCCCTCATAACCGGTTGATTACCGCGTGGGCGATTGGCAGAGGGGCAGTTGGCAAAGACATGGCCGGGGTTAGCACAGTACATACAGAGATTGTTGTCCCTTCGGCATTGTTTTTCGGCGGCAGAGGTTTTGCGTTGTCCATTGACAAAAGTGTATCGTTATTCGGTGGCAGGGCGTTGAGTGGGACGGGCTTGGAGGGCGGAGAGGTCCATTGGGGCGAGGCTTCCGGTGGTGTGAGATGGGTGTGCGACAGCGGCGGGGGCGGCAAATTGTCCCATCGTATTCCGAATGGCCCGTTGTTCAGCTTTACGGCCCCGAACCTGGTTGTCAATTGTCATCAACATGGGGGCATATGCCTCGACGGTGTTAGGCCTGTCTGTCCGGTATGTCATGGCGTCCTTCAGGTCTTCCGACAGTCCTTCGGCCAGGGCATCGATCTTGGCTCCTTCGTTGTAGTCCAGGTAGGCCACAATACGGAGGAACTGTGAGTAATAGGTGGCGAAGTCCCCTTTGCCTTGCTTCAGGGTGACGAGTTGACGACGGGCGGTACCCCGGGGATCTGGGTCTCCAAACGAGGCTTCCAGGTGGGCAACGAACGCAGTGACGGAGGACAAGGGGGCAGCCGGGTTAGCATTAACGAGTGGAACGACCTGGTCAAGGGCCCTTCCTTCCAAGCGACTGACAGCATAGATAACTTTTGCTGCCTCGTTTCGGAACCGATCGTGATTGACTTCAAGTTTTATTCGAAGTTGGGTGGTGAATCCGGGGAGCTTGTTACGGGTGCCGTCGAATTTTTCAGGGTCTGGGAACTTTTCGGACCTGAAGGCAGGGACAGTAGTAGGTGGGGGAGCAGCGGCAACGGGTGCAGAGGCGGCAGGGGCGGGGGCAGCACGAGCGACATTGAGGTTGAGGTTGAGCTGGGTTACCTGCTCCTCAAGGTTGTCAATGGTTTCATTGGCGGCGGTGAGTTGTGTATTAAGGGTATCCCTCTGGAGGCGGATGCGCTGGACAAGGACGGCAATGTTGTTAAATAAGCCGGCAGCGTCGACCTCATACTGCCGCTTGAATTCTTCTACATCGTTGGGTGGGGCCCATGTGGGTGGGTCGGGGGTGGACATGTCGTACGGTGCGGATGACGACGCAACGTAATCTCAAGGGGGCGAGTAGCGAGTATTCCGCAAGGTACGAAGGTTGTAATAGGGCTGGTGTAAGAACTCGCAATAGGGGTCCTAAGGGGCTCTGGCGTTGGTAAGGGCCAACGGAACAAGGGGAAGCGAGGCGGTGGTCCTCTTGAGTAAAAAGAAGAGAAAGATAATATTGTATAGTAATGGACAGCGTAGATACAGAAGACGTTGCGTGAGGAAAGAAAGAAAGAGAAAAGAATGAGAAATAAGAACGAACCCCCCTAATATACCCAAAGAAATCCCAGCGATGACAAATCCCAAGTGACTCATACATTAACGATCCAGAGAACCCGATAGAACCCAATAGAACCTTTCTGACTAATCCAACTCCTCGTAACCCAGTACGTTCCCTAATCGATCCATGAAACCAAACCAGATTAGAACGCTCGTAACCCTAACTACCCACATCCAGGTTCCAACCATCACCAAATTCACATTGATGTATTTCAGATTACCGAAGATTGTATTGTGTACACGTAACCAAACCAGATTTGAATGCTCATAACCCTAACTACCCACATCCAGGTTCCAACCACCACCAATTCACATTGATGTATTTCAGATTACCGAAGAATGTATTTTGTACACGTAACCAAACCAACTTTCAACGCTCGTAACCCTAACTACCCAAATCCAGGCTCCAACCACCACCAAATACACATTGATGTACTGACAAAATCCGCTTTCAACTCTCGTAACCCTAACTACCCATAAGCAGGTTTCAACTACCACCAAATACACATTGATGTACTAACAAAATCCGCTTTCAACGATCGTAACCCTAACTACCTGTAAAAATATGGCATTGCGACATCGGTTATGTATGGTAATTACTCATGTATAGGGAATGACTCATAGTTGGAATAAGGAGGCTTAGCGCTAGGATTATGTAATCAGGAGATCACGTGGTACTAAGAACTATATGTATATAAGGAGCAACAAACTCCCACAGTTGTCGCTGGAACTCAGCGGCGCAATAGTATCTTCTTCACTTTATAAAAACATAGTCCCCACAAAGGTCACGTGTTCAACCCTCCTCAAGTCGTCTATTCTCCCACATTCCAATGCACAGGTTATGAGCCCGGGTTCTGCCAAATAGAGTCCGCACTACACCATCGCCACCTCGCTTAACTCAACAACACTTCATACAACATCATGCCTTCAGGTGGAGAATCGTCATCCAAGGCTGCTGAGACTAATCCCTCAGAGACCACAGCTACCAGTAACATTCGTCTCAAGTTTGATGGACTCCCTAAACTATAAGAGCAATACAACTACCAAACTCGGGCGAGTGCCTGGAGGATGACGTTTGATGCTGTAGACTGGTGGGAAGCGTTGAGCATCGAGAACCGTACCGAGAATGACACCGAACTCAGCAAAACCGAGATAAAGAAGGCTCGTAAACAAATGCACAGCCTTCTCATCTCTGCTGTATGTGAAGAAATACAACCAACAGTCGTCTCCGCCGAAAATGCATTCCATGCATGGAAGGCGCTCAAAGACCTCTACGATCATGTCTCACCCAACACCACGATCATCATCCTCAGCCACGTCCTAGACACGAAGATGCAAGAAAGCGGATCACTGAACGAGCATCTCGCGACCTTCGATGCGAACTGGAATACTCTCAAGTCCAGATGCCAAAGCGCAGACCACAAACTCGCTGAGGCTCTCCTACCCCTCACCAAATCCAACGAAGCCATGGCGGCATTCCTCCTAAGCTCGCTACCCAAATCGCTGAGCAACGTGGTCGACAACATCCAGACCAAACAGGATATTACCTATGGAGACGTACGCCAACGACTACAAAACCTGGATGAGGTAGCCCCTCAAACAGGGAACAAAGTGCTCCATACCAGGAGTACTACAAGCGACAAGGAATGCACCTGGTGCAAGAAAAGGGGCCAGCCTTACAAAGGCCACGAGTACACGGAGTGCAGAAAGCTCAAAGAACAGAACAAGAACAGTAAGGGAAGGAGAAAGGACAACTCGGCATCGGTTGTAGTAAATGACTCTACAACCACTATCTGTATGGTACGCCACGACATCTATCAACCCCTTACTTGGATCCTTGATTCTAGAGCGACCTCTCACATCACACCCTTCCAAGTCCAACTCATCAACATCCGACCTCACACCGGCAACGTCCGAACAGCTGATGGAACCAACCACGCTGTCACCAGAATGGGAAGCGCTAGTTTCAGCTACCACCTTCCCGATGGAAGTAGATCTTCCATTCTCCTCACCGATGTGCTGTTGGTCCCAACCTTGGGAAATGTGGGATTAGTCTCCGAAACCGTGCTCGACAAAAAGGGATTTAGAACGGAGTCAGGAGGAGGAAGCAAGTTGGTTACAAAAGAAAAGAAAGGAATAATCTGGGCAAAATTGGAGAAGGGACTTTGGAATGTACAAGTAGTTAGCAATACAGTTCGTTTGACCACTTACGATGAATGGCATCAAGCGTTAGGCCACCCTGCAACACTACAAAACTTGTATCACGACATTCAAAGGCTGCCTCCCAAACCAGAAAGTTTCCACTGCAGTCAATGTGCACTATCAAAAAGCGTACACAAGAAACCTGCACCAATCAGTACTAGATCCAAATGACCATTTGAACTAATCCACTCAGACCTATCTGGAAAGTTCAGTATACAGTCACAAGGAAAAGCTCAGTACTATATGTCCTTCATTGATGATTACACCCGCTTCGCTTGGATATATCTCCTAAAACAGAAAGAAGACGCAAAGAAGGCCATCAACGACTACGGTACCCGGATCGAGAAACAGTATAGCACAACAATACTGAGATTCAGAACGGATGGCAGAGGTGAATACATCAACAAGGACATAACGAACTACTTCGACACACAAGGAATAGTTCATGAACAGACTCCCCCATACACTCCTGAATCTAATGGAGTTGCAGAACGATTCAACAGGACGGTAACCACAATGGTCAGGTGCATGATCATGGACCATCCTAATTCGTTGTGGGGAGAAGCATACGCAACAGCTGTCTACTTCAAAAACAGACTACCTCACAGTACGCTTAAGGGAAAGACCCCCTTTGAAGCCCTAAAAGGAACCAAGCCAAGTATACAACACCTTCAACTATTCAGTAAAAAATGCTACGTACACATCCCAGAAAACTCTATGCCAGCAGGAAGCAAACTAGCACCCCGAGCGTATGAAGGAATCATAGTTGGATACTCAGACAGTAATAAGAAATACCGTATCTGGATAGGAACACAACATAGAGTAATTGAAAGTCGGAACGTCACATTCCCCCCTCCTGAATCAGGGGAAGTTTCAGTGGAACTCGACTTCATCTCCAGCCTGAAACCAGACGCGGCAAGTGCACCATCAGACGATGGATCCGAATCAGAAGACAGGTATGATCCAGAACCCGAATCGTCAGCAATCGAAGAAAACCTGAAGGAAGACGTAAGTAGACTGGGAGCCGGGTTGACGGGGCTCACTCCCGGACCTCACTTTACAGGATCTGATAAACAAGACACTAATCAAAAACTACCAGGAGATTTCCCGGCATCACCGGAACGAAAGAAAGTCCAACTACCAAAGACGCCAAACAAGGGAAAACAACCTGAGTCATCAGATCCACCACCAGCTCCAAGACGATCAAGTCGTGTCCGCAAGAAAATGGATTATGAGCTTGATAAGGAAATAAGAAGGAAGGAATACAACAACAAGGTAATACAACAACAGGAGCAACTAAAAGGGTACATTGAATCAGTTAGAGAGGACGGTCCACGGGATGAAGGCGAACAACAAGCTATGATTAAAGAATTCAAAGGCGACCTCATAAAGGCCAGAAAGGATCTGGACCTAGAGCACCAAGATGTATCCAATGAACCCGCGATCTATCGTATACACCTTGTAACCGAACCTTCAACCTATAATCCAGCCATGAACAGCGACGATCAACACCTATGGAAAAAGGCGATACAGACTGAAAAAGACGCCCTTGACAAAGCCCATACCTGGGATATTGTCAACCGACCAACCAACCGAGCAGTAGTCAAAGGGAAGTGGGTATTCAAAGTGAAATACAATGCGGACGGAACAATCGAGCGGTACAAAGCAAGGTAGGTTGCCAAAGGCTTCACCCAAGTACAGTATCAAGACTACGATGAGACCTTCGCCCCCGTTGCACGATATGATTCCCTACGACTTCTACTAGCACTAGCTGCATACAACGGTTGGACACCACAACAAATGGACGTTAAGTCAGCCTTTCTATACGGTGTACTCAAGGAGGAAATCCACATGGAACTGCCTGGAGGCTACAGGCAGGACAGCAAGGTTTGTAAACTTCGAAAATGCATATACGGACTAAAGCAATCACCCCGTGAATGGTATGCTTGCCTAGCAGACTCCCTTCAACGGAAAGGATTCGTCCCAGCCAAATTCGACCCATGTGTCTTCATACATAAGAACCATCAACTATACATATCGGTGTATGTAGATGATATCATGATATTCGGACCTGACTCCCCATTCAGAAAAGAAATCAGACAACTACTGAAGGCAGATTTTGAATGTACGGATCTCGGTAACTCGAAATTCATACTGGGAATAGAAATAACGGTAACCAACAACGGTATCACGCTATCACAACGCGCATACATCAACAAGATCCAGTACCCATCAGTGTTCCACTGAAGGCTCTTGCACTGGACGGAGGTGATGTGGGGGGGGCTGTTGAGTGTTAGCTTGGGTTATCTAAGGCTAGTGTTAACTAGGGTTATCTAGGGTTACGGTCAAGCTAGGGTTAACTAGGGTTACGGTCAAGTTACGGTCAAGCTAGGGTTAATTAGGGTTATCTAGGGTTACGATCAAGCTAGGGTTAACTAGAGTTAACTCTAGTAGGGCAATGTCGGACAGGATTTTGAGGTTGCCTGAGAACCGTCGCCCCACAATTCCGGGCTCCATGGCTAGTTAGGGTTAGGGTTAGTTAGGGTTAGTTAGGGTTAGTTAGGGTTAGTTAGGGTTAGTTAGGGTAGTAGGTTAGTAGGGTTAGTTAGGGTTAGTTAGGGTTAGTTAGGGTTAGTTAGGGTTAGTTAGGGTTAGTTAGGGTTAGTTAGGGTTAGTTAGGGTTAGTTAGGGTTAGTTAGGGTTAGTTAGGGTTAGTTAGGGTTAGTTAGGGTTAGTTAGGGTTAGTAGGGTTAGTTAGGGTTAGGTTAGGTTAGGTTAGTTAGGGTTAGTTAGGGTTAGTTAGGGTTAGTTAGGGT